TAATTGTGAAATTTCCTTTTTTTTAAACACCTAACTGACCCGTTTCGTTTGCTGAATTCCAATCAGAACCATATACGCCATTAATTTAGTTCTTAACGCGTTTCTATTAAATGATTAAAGTACAAGACGGAGTGCAAAAAAAGGGACCATTACGTACATTGTTCGCTTATCAGCGAAAAAAGTTTTTACACAACAAAACAACAAGTTCCCCCATTTATACATCTGTTGGCTGACGTTTTCAATAGAGAGTTTTTTTCCGCCTGCTCTGTGCAAATGTCTGCTCTCGTTATCCACCTAACGAAGTACATCTCGTGTCACGAGTAACAACACCCTTAGGGTATGTGTTTTCCTGTACTGCGCCTAACAAACCAATGATTTGCGTTATGTTCCTATGTATACATATAATATACAGCGTGTCCCACAAAGACCTGAAAAATTAAATAACTTTGATTTTGTTTTGGTTGCTTGAATTTTGTTTGAAAAAAGTCACAATAGCCATTTTATTGGGAATAATTTGCTGAGAATTTTGACTGGTCGAATAACCTGTTTTGGTTAATTACTTTTAAAGTTATTTAAGTTTAAAGTGTAGGATTTAACAATTTTAATACCATAAAAAGTAATTATCCAAAACTGGTTATTCGACCAATCAAAATTCTCAATAAAATAGGTATAGTGACTTTTTCAAAAAAAAATTAAGTAACCAAAAAAATATTTAAAAAAGTAAAACAGTTAAGAGTAATGCAAACCGTGATGTTTTTAACTTTTTTAATTCATGTATTGTATTTTCTTGACAAGCTCTTTCTAATGAGCTTAGAACGAATAAATACTAAATAGTAATAAAAATGGTTATGGTATAAAAAGCTGTGGTATGTACTATTATATTATATTATTGGTGTACAAGTTTTGTATAAAACTGCCTCACTCTGCTATCTATTTCATTTACATATTTTTTTGTTACATGATGGATTCTTATGTTTACAAATTTGTTAATAATTATTTTTATAAGCTGTAATAAATGGTTATTTAATGGCTATATGTATTTACAAAATAATTTTCCAAATTAATTCTAGAGAAGGTTTTTTTATTGTTAATAAAGTCTATGAATTTAATACAATTTTATAACAGCTATGAAATCTGTTTCTCCTCGTTATAATCGATTTTTTTAACGTCCATATCAGCTTTATATTTTATTGATAAGAATGAAAAAAATGTGTGCTAAACGATTGCCTCTCTCACAACTTAATCTCTCTTGATTGTCATGTCGATTAGACACCTACCTTGTAATGGTAGAAACGTTTGTTGTTTTTTTGGTCAAAACTGCCGTGTAGAGTTTGGAATTAGTAGATGAGCTCCAGGTTTATTGGATGTACTTAAACTGTCGTCGAATAGATCAAACAAGCCGTGGAAGCGTTTACTCCTGTTGTACCTCTCAAACGTTTTAATGATCTTGTTTGCCGGTTAAAGTAATTTTTGAAAAAGCAAAGCTTTCAGCCACTAATTTAATATTTTATTTTTGGCTATAAAGGCTCAATTAGAGCGAAGCAATGTGCTAAATAAATACTAAGTAATTTGCACTTCTACTATTTTAAAATGCTATCAATATTAATTTGACAAAACGGTAAAGATTCATAGCAATATGTTTATTTGCAATTTCAAATAGATTTTCCAAAATAACGTCACGGTGCTAATTATTAGCGTGTAATACTTTTGGCATTTTTATGTCTTTGCTTTGGCACACAGACGGAAAATCGACACCGATTATCATAACGAAAAAATCAGCTGATTTATCTGATAAGAGATAAGAGATAATGGAAGAGATAAGAGATATGTTTTTTACTTTGGAACCACAGATATATATAATAAACTAGATTGCTAACTAGCATATATGTTGTGTTCACAGCGTTCAAAATAGAAATGAATAATAAATTCAATAATTTAAGGGGCTAAACTCTCTATGAATCGTTTTAGGCCAGATATTATGAAAACACTAAAATATTAGCCAGAAACTTGATATGTTTTTTTTTTTTAACATCGTTATTTAATATTCATCAACGTTTTTAACCGAGTCCTTGCGCCGCGCTATTGTAGTGATATATTTGCCAAAGACTGAGTGAGCTTCTCAGATTATCATGTCTCTGCGAAGCGTTTAACGGCGGTTTAGCTGGAGTTTTAGCCCGTGCCCAGTGGGATTATACTTAACGGTATAATAAATAACTGGTTACCGATTGTTGGCCGAAGGGACCGCATAAGAGTAATCCCAACCGAGAAGCACCGGAGGTCATTAATATAAATTAGATGTGACCACAGCTGATGAAATTCATTTGGCGACCAGGTCATTATATTTATATGCCTATGTATGAATTTCACCCTCATCTTATTTTTCATTATTTGTCTAAGACCGCCTTTCAATACAACGCGCAAAACACTAAACCGACAGTGAAAACATAAAACGGTCCAGTTGCAATAAAACGAAATAATATCATACATTTTATAATACCCCTCCTTGTAATCCGCTTCGAAACAAAACAAAAATACCAATAAAGCCTTTATTTCATTGTTTTTTTCTACTTACACAAACACTAATGATGTCCAAAAGAGAAACGCTGTACACATGTAGCTACAGGATAGAAATAATTAATGTTATATTTAATAAATAACTATTAAAACACAGTATTATATTAAATAAATGTAAATGATCTACTGAAAATCATAGTATAGAAATAACAGTAGTACATTGAAAATCTGGAGCTTCTATTTTCATACATCAAATAAATGACTAAATAGTAAACATTGATGAAAATCAACACTTTGAATAAAATTATTAGATAATTCTAATATTGTTTGCCTTATCCTGTGCAATTGGGTTCGTTTAGCCAAAACCTCTCTTTTTCACAAATCTCATTGACCATTACCATATTTTGTTCGTCGGCTCCAAACGTCACATGATCTTATTTAAAAGACAGTCGGTTCCAGGATGCTTGCAGCCTCCACACACTCTATTAGCGTTGGCCCTAAGACTCTACAATTATTATTGAACGTCGACTAGTGCAACGTGCTCAAAGCACGTGACAGGATCATGTGACCCTTACCGGGCTTCGTGTGCGAGTCATGTGCAAATTACCACTAGGCTACAGAGAGCACGTTAAATGGTAAAGGATAATCAAAAATATAACATGTTCGAGTTCTTAAAATCGATATCTCATTACGACCTCACACCGAGAAATAATGGAACTGCTTTCCCAAAAAAATAGTTTGCACGATATTCCAATATTTAGACATCCGTCGTTTCTTCCAAAAGCAATTATTGCTGTTGCTTACAGCAACTTACCAAATGTACGACCTATACTTTCGACTTGAAATGTTTGAATACATTAAAAAGCTTAAGTAACTATACGTGTAAATAATAAATTTAAAAAATCAACACAAAGAAACATTATACGACGTGTAACATTGCTATACAATGTAAACCTTGTGAGCATCCCAGAAAAAGCACCATTATAAGCAAACAACATTAACTTCAAAGCACAAAACATTTCCCTAATACCTAAATTAAATCAAAGGATTGTACTAACCGTTTGGACATTTGTCATTTTCAATAGAGTGCTAACGTAGTGAAACTCAGATGTAAAAAATAAAACAGAAAATCTACAGGTCTAACGGGTGTAAACAAAACTAATGACCGTTCCCAATAGCAAAGCATAAAAATAAAGTACAATTAATCGATATTAAAACTACAGGCCAAACTCTACTAAGAATGTTGTTATTTTTCTTACAAGACCACCTAAGAAGTTTACATATGTTCTTGTATGTTACACAAGATAAGTTTAAAAGTTATAAATAATGGAATACTGAAGTTACCGAGGACTTGGGAGGAAAATTTCGTGCATACTTTAAGGTCTTCTCGGTAAGTATTAAATGTTTAATATTGTCGACCACACTATAATGTACCAGCTTGCGGGGTAATGTTATTTTATATGTATGCAAATTATAATACACTTATTAATTTTGATAAAAAAAACAAATTTAGATGATTTAAGCAGAACATAAAATACACAAAGTTGTAAATCTTCTCTTCGAAATCTACTTGAAGCCGTCAACCTTTGCACACATACACATATAGATTGTCCATAAATCATTTTCGATTGCTTCTGGCCATCTTTTTTTTTTTTGCCCCTCTTCTACCTGTTGTTTCCAACACATATTTTATCATTCACCATAACCTCTGTCCCAACTATGACAATCAGTTCTTTGCAGTGACCATATTTGTTTGTCTTCTTAGATCAGGGAATAGTGCAATTATAGCAAATTACTTGGGATGTAACCGATGGCGATACTAATGCATCGAAGCGGTAAAACTCAATGACCGAAATCATTATCCGTTATCGTCAATACAAATCTGAGCTGGTAGAAAATAAAAGGGGAAACGTACAAACAACCTCAGTAGTCCTTAGTATTATGCGCTTACCGATAAAATAGTATTTTTCCACTAGCTCATCTATCAGCGTCCCAAATATCCATCGTAACAGGTAAATCCAAAATCAAACACATTCTAACTTAGCCCTTATGATGTATGATGATACCGCCTCCTAACGACACTTGAATAAATGTGACGATAACAAAATCAAAATCAAAGGGAAAAAACATTAAAAATACTGTTTTAAATGGATATCAAAATACTTGTTGAAATACTAGTTGCATGTACTTGTTCATATAGGTAACCAGTATAACTAATATAACCACATAATTCGTATAACTAGTTGTAACAGGTTGCTTCCCCCAATACTACTGATATCTCACCAAATGTAACTAGTAAGCAAGTTGGAACCATTCTTATAGTATAATATGTATTAGCTGTTTAAATTCGTTTGGATATGAAATGCTCACTTACGAAAAAAATTAACAACATTCAAGGTGCAAAAGTCAAATAGTGTACAATTTGATGTGGAATACCTCATATGTGACAGAAGACTAACACAAAATAAATTAAAAATTAACAACAATTTTATATATAATATAGTTTATTGTATCTAGCAAAATATTTTAAATTCAATCAAATAAACAAAATTATTATCATTTTCAAATCAACAATATTTTTGTTTTATAAAAGATAAATGTTGAATTTATTACTCCTTTGCTACGTCATTTACAAACGAGTTGACGACTTTTTCTATTTTTTGTAGAACAATTTCGTTAAGACCAGAATTGTTGTTAATGTGATTTTCCAGTAGTGGTTGGTTTTCGATCAGGTCTGGTCTATCGATAATCATAGCTTTAGTTGCATTGATTAATTTAGTACGTCCACCGCCAATGTTGCCCTCTAATAATAATACTTTTGCAGCGTTAACAGCGTTAAGATAGTTTGGGTGCAAGTTGTACGTGGAAGCTGTACACCAAATTAAAATTTACTTTTATAAACTGTTGTAATACTATTGTCTATGTATTATATTTATAACTATTTCCAAAAAGTAAACGTTATACCGAGTAAGTTATTCTCTATGTACAATTGAGAATTAAATAAATGTAGGTTTCCTAAAAAATTAAAAAACAGTGGTGTCTACAAAATATTAATCGGGTGAATTTAATTAACCTACTTTTCCTTTTGCTTATTAGAGAAAAAAAAAACAAAATAATGTTTTAGATACTCACGGCTTGCTATATCTGGTCGTACATAACATTTCAATAAATAATAATCATAAAGATTTGATTTCAGATTTTCTATGGCGTCCGTTTCCATCGCATTTGATGAAACCTGAGAGACAATCATACATAGTTTAGTACCTACTATTTGCAGTATCATCATAGGGTTCTTGACGACTACCCTCAAATACCAGTTGTACTAAAGCATAACAGTTTCAGTGGAGATAGGTCAGAGAAAAATGTGGTATAAACTTATAGAGGCTCTAGGAATTAGTGATTGTCCAGTATATAATAAAAGAGCAAAATGGTTTGCTTAATTAAAAAAATCACTGCAGTCGTTTTCAGTTACATTATATTACAAAAAGTAAAATATTAATATTATTGAAACATTGTGAAAACATGTATGTTTCTAAAATAAGTATAAATAGTTTTATATACTTGAACAATATATATATTTTTTTAAGTATTTACAATATATGGAATGTATCACTTACGACAAGACCAAAGAAATAAATTGCAAATAAAACGGCACTCATGTTAGATTTCATCGTGAATATCTATGACAAAAATTAACTTATAGTATTAATTAGAAAAATAAAAAAATTAAAAATATTTCTTACTTTGTATATGTTGGTTAAACTTTATGTGTTAAATTATGTTTGAGAAACTCAAAAAAACACTAATACATTTTATGCTCGGTTTGACTTTTTATAGTTATTTAGGCGACTCTCCTCCACTTGCCGCATTATCTTAAATTGCAAGTAATTATTTTTTTGAGATATATTGTGCTTACATAGGATAAACATAATGTATAGCAGATGTGAAATAATAAATTAAAAATATTCAAGGTTGTCTTATATTGTATCACATGTCTCTTAAATATATAGATGGGTTATAAAAAAAAACAAGTATAGTCTAAATCAGCATAGTACAAAGTTCAAACCAAGCAAAATTTTAGCTACTGATTTAATCACTTTCAAACGCTTCGATGCGAATCCGTCTGTAGTATAACCAACTAGAGTTTAAACCAAGTACAGTCTTAGCCAGGCACAGTTTTCACTAGTGTATTTCCATAAATTACAACTTTATGGCGCAGTTAATCTGTTTTATGATATTATTTTTAAAAGTCATTGTAGTAAAAAACCGTTTTTTTATGATAAGTGTCCTATATGGTTTAGTTCTTTGTTGAAAGACTTAATGTATAAGAAAAAAATTGCTCTCATGCTGTACAAACAAACTACTTCTCAAATAAATTACAATAGTTTTTTTTCTAAATGACGTGATAGGCGTAAATTGCAATCCAATCCAACAATTATACAATTTTAAATACTCAAAACTCTATTCAGACCAATCCTAAATTATTTTGGAAATTCTTTAACAATAAAAAGTAATATATTCGAGTCCAACTATAGTATAACTTAAAAATTGTTATATCTGTAGGTATATGCTATCTTGTATAACATTTTGTACAATTAACATATGTTTATGGTTAAAAATTGGAACACAAGCATTCGTGTTACTTGTGAAAACTATGGAAGCGACACAAAACCCTATATATTTATTTAGTTTGTAATAAGATGTGAAGATAAAGAACCGTTAATGAATTAATGTCAAAGCTGTGTTGGCGCTGCTAACGCTTAATAGGTTAAAAGCTTTTTCGGGGACTAAACATAATAAGGTTTGAAATTAATAAAAATAAAAGATTTCCCATTCATCTAGATCAGTGTAACTAAATGCAGGATTTTAAACACATTTATATGTTTTACCTCGAAATTCGCCGTAGCTGCAGTGTTTTTAACAATGGCTTAAGCATTTATTTTTTACATTGGTCTAAGTGCTGAAAATATTTATAACAATGCATTTAAACTTTTTACATGGTAGTATAAACATTTAGTTTAACAACATTTCATTTGGCAATTATATGACGCTTATCATAGTTTTACACCAATAGTGTTACTAGTACAAATAGTTATTATTAAATAATTAAGTAAATAAACAACAATTATTGAATATTTAGATTTTCAGCTGTACTAGCAATGACTATAATTTTTAATGTAAAAGTATGCGTTCGTTTGCCTTTAAAACTTTTGGCTATAATTTACTTTTTTAGGTAAATATTTTAAAGTACATGTTAGAAATCCTCAACGCAGCTTAAATTGTATCATAACTTTTAGTAATACTTTATTGAGATGGATATAGAGCTTGAGATGAAGATAAGAATACAGGTGAAACTAGAACTTACGTTGGAGATGGAGATGGAGCTTGAGATTCAGATACAGAAGAATATGAAGATACAGATGTATCTAATACTGAAGCTTAAAAATTAAGATAAAGATACAGGTGATGCTGGATTTAATGTTGGAAATGGAGATAGAGCTTGAGATAATGATGGAGATGAAGATAAAGATAAAGGTAAACATGAAATGAATATGGAGATGAAGATGTATGTGATACTGAAACTTGAGATTAAGATGAAGATATAGATCATGCTAGATTTAATGTTGGAAATGGAGATAGAGCTTGAGATGAAGATGGAAAGAAGATGAAGATGAAGATAAAAATAAAGGTAAACATGAAAATGAAAATAGAGATGGAGACTTATCTGTATCTCTTGTATCTTTATCTTGAATTATTTATACTTAAATTTAACTTTAACCAGCCGGTGTCAACTTGACTCATATCAAAAGTACTTGTATACAAAATTACAGTTGTGAAAAATATCTATTATATTTTTCAAATTTATGTAATGTGCTTTTAGAACGAAACCTATATTTGTCTATATTTAAACTGTTTTTATGTTCTGAATTAGTTTTCTTACGTTAGTATGTTATAGACAGATCCAATTTTTTTTCAAATTAAAATCAAAATCGAGTGAATAATTAATTATACTTCAAGGTTTTTGTAATTATTATGATTTACAGCGTAAAAAAAAAAGAATCAACACATTTTAAGTATCTTTTTTAATGTACCTAATAAATAAAATAAAACATTTCACCAATGTGTGTAATAAATATGAAAGCCGATTGGAAAAACAGAATCTCTAAAACCGGTAAAAGCGTAGCAAAAAAATGAATTTAAAAAATAATCTCAACATTACGGACAAAGGTACCTAAGATAATAACTTAAAGTCTTATTATACATTTTAACATAATTATTTAATATAAAATCATGGCTAGGAACGAAAGGAGAAAATTGGAGTGGACAGCATCATTATTTTTTAGGGTTATGTTAAAAGCTTTCCGGATGAAAAACCAAAGAATCTCGTAAAAGGCTTTTGTCGATCTTAATTATAATAAGTTTATTTCATTTACTTTTAACTCGTTTCGCTTCTCAAAGTACTTTGTACCAATCGAAGTAGAAACGGGTGGAAGAAAAGAATTTATTAAAAATCCAATTCCAACAGATATCGTTGACATTAGAAATATGCATGTAAGGAATTGGCTGTTAATTAATTTATACATCCTAAATTAACGGTTTTTGAGTCATGCCGAAAATAATGATAATTATTCATAATATTGTCCATTGACACAAATGTACCACTTTCGGTGAAATAACCCATTTATGTCAAGTAAAGGGTACCTAAATCTAATCAGGGAGAAGTGGGTCACCCCGCCGTCTTACATAAATCGTTTGACACCGGCAAGCCACAAACGCGGAAGCACATTGCATTTGAACAATAATTTATGCGACATGTTCATAACTTTGCAGTGCCAAATTCCATCTGAACCCTTCGATTTGTATCCGCCGGGCAGGTTAGGTTGTTCAACAACAGAGTTTTAGACGATAAAACAATCTGTGATATTAAACAACTAATTCCCTCCATAAGAATCCTTTCTCTCCAATTTACAAAATTCAGTAACGTTCATTTGTCGTGTACACGTTTTGATATAAAATATTATACACAAGCACTGTAACGGTTCACTGTAGCACCTCCAAAAAGAGGGAAATTACAAAATTTACTGTACATTTTTTCCAGGTTGCTACGTGCAATTGATTCAATAATTAAGATGGATGAGGATAATATTTTCACTACCCATATCCGTCCTACTCGAATATTATGACTAATGCAATTTTGATATCTTTGTTTTAGACGATAAAACAAACTGTTTCCGACGGTTGGCACAAACCAAACACAGTCCAAACCAAGCACAGTAGGAAAGTATTATACTGTAAGTGAGTAAAGGAGATCCAGCGTTCACAGATAAAATTACACATATCGATAAAAGCATTGTAACCAATGACAATTATGTGCCTAAGGATGCTTTAAAAAAAAAAATGAAATAAAGAAAAACCATCTATCTCTTCTAGGGGGGAAACTATGTTTATACAATTTACCCATGTTAGGTTAGGTTAGGTTATTTACCCATTTACAAAATGAGAGGGGGGGGGAAATAAAATTAGATATTATCCCTCACTTCACTCCGAAGACGAAGAATGACGTCTCGCAGTCACCAGCCAATGGGCGTTATGTATTAGACTTTACCTAAGCCTTTGTAGTGATTGTATGTGTGTGTGAGGCAGAGCTCCATTGTCGACGTTTGTGTTGTCTGGATAAATCCGCAATATTGCACTTTTTTTTTTTTTTTTTTTGATCCGACAGTGAAAAACACGAATAAACGCAGGACGTTTAGCTGGCAGAGATTATCTTTTTGCACTTACACATGTGGCCTCCGGTGAGTATTATTATAACAACAAAAAACAATATTTGCCTCGTTATTTTTGCAACATATATTATGCGAAATAATAATAATAATTTGCCAGACTAGTAATGGTTTTGAGCTGCTGTCAAACTTATAAACCCCCAAAAACGAATTACCTTTCTCGGTATATACTCTTTGGAAATTGGAACCCCCGTTGAGTCTGCATGGAAACTCATTTTATCATATTACTATTATATAAAACGCGCACAAAACAACATTATATGGCAACCAAATTGAGTATTCAAAACATTGTTGTCGCAATAGAACATTCGAATTGCGCACATAAAATGTCATTTGGCCGTAAAGTAATTCCCTTGAACAATTAAAATATTGTCTCTTAATTTTTTGTTGGGTATATTATCTATATGTGCTACAAAATTTGACCTTTTTTTCACCCTTTTACTCAAAAGGGTGGGAACTCTGGTCTTTGCTTCACTTTTTCGAACATAATTATAAGGGCTAAAAATTAGACTGAAGTTAGACAAATCATTCATTATTCGTTTTCACTCCAATAATAGAATTATACAATTGCATTACAATTTTGGCCTTTGAAGTGATTTTATCGATTTTTAATATTTCAGCCTTGTATAGATACAATAACTTCAGTATAATAATAATTCCTGCAAACCTGTGACCTCCACATTGTAGTATAGTAATATCATACTAGTTTGTGTTATTTTAGTTTTGTCTACTCTGTATGAACTTTTAACGGTCATTGTTCGTTTTGCATCTACTTATTACTTTTGTCTATTTTCTTTGTTTCGATTTTAATTTTTTCATACACAACTGCAATGATATTATTATCATTTTATTTTGCATACTATTAGCTCTGCTTGTTAAGTAACATTTCAAGGCCAGGTAAAGTCTAAATTTATATTAGTTTTGACTGTACCGGTTTGAACAGATTCGCATCGAAGCGTTTATTTTCGTAAGTGATTTTATCACAGAAACCTGTGACCTCCCCTGTGGCGTACTAAGCCCCTCCCTATACTACTCTGGGTTTTTCATTTTTGATCGATAGGACCGAACCCCAGCCGGACCGACGAGAACGGTAAAAAGACTTTTACTTTATTAAACAGCGGGATGTACAATACTTGGCCGCTTTGTTGACATTAAGAGAAAAGGGAAACATCAAAGCGGTACCCGAAAGTTGCTCAAAAGGTTGGCAAGTCAAGGCAAACACACACAAACCGCGATCGGCCCACGGCATTTGCCCTTCGGCGTAAAAGCATCTGATGAAGTTCCATCCAGGGCGAAAACCACCATAAGGGAGTCTATACACAAAGCCCCGGGCCGGACTTAAATTATCATGTATGTCTAAACGGGGTTTACAAGCCTTCTGGCCTCTGCAAACGACGAGGCAGTGTTGGGAGAGTTAATTTTTTGTTTTATCAAAGTAAGTTATTTTGATAAACGTCTAAGACCGTCATGTATCCTTAAAAACTCTTGAGTACCTAGAAATGGTTACCTGAAAATTTTACATTGAATTCACATCAAAGAGTATTAACATATAAAGTACCTACTCATAAACCACTTGTATTTGACAAACAACAGTTAACAATATATAGATATTTTATATTTTGTGTTGTCTACACAGCAACATTAATCATAAATATAATAGTGTAAAGCTGCGAAAATTTGTTTTTTGCAAATAACGAATCCTTATAGTGTTAATAGTTTTTTTTTAGTAAATCCGACAACTGTTATTACTTGTTTACATTGCCAGTAACGTTTGAGAACAACTTGTTATAAACGTAAAAAAAAAATTGAACATTTGGTGTAATACAAAATGTCTATACATTATTTTTGAGTGAACTTCAAATCTTAAACTTAAAACGTTGGTACATCTTAATTAATGCTTTTCATTGCAATATACAAGCCTTTAGGGGTTTACTCTAAAGGAAAACATTCAGAAACGTCCATCTGCTGTATACAAGTTTTGTTATAACATATCATACACAAGCACTGTAACGGTTCACTGCAGCACCTTCGAAAAAGAGGAAATTTTACATATTTACTGTATTTTTTTTCCAGGTTGCTATGTGCAATTGATTCAATAATTAAGATGGACTAGGATAATATTTTCATTGCCCATGTATCCACACTACTCGAATATTATTACTAATGCAATTTTAATATCTTTGTTTTCTTTACAATGAATTCAACAATATATTCTGTACCAGCTACAGATATAATAATTCCTGAAAACCTGTGACCCCCACATTATAGTATAGTAATATGAATACTAGTTTCTGGTTAGGTTAGGTTTTGTTTACCGTGTGTGGACTTGTAAATTTATTAATTTCCTTTTAGAACTACTTATTACTTTTTTTTTTTGCACAGTTGCAATGATAACAATAAATCATAGTTTCATTTAATTTTCCACATAATTGTGCTTAAACGCATGCACAATATGGGAACACATTATTATCACGTTACAAAAAATAAAGGCTATGCGAAAAAAATGTATATTTACTAAATGTTTAGTTCTCCAAATTTTAATTAATCACTTTTATGCTATTTATTATACATTTTTAAATAAATGCAAAAAAACTACAAACTACCCTATTTTGCTCAACTTCAACCCGTATGCGATACGTGAAGGGGTTGAGTAATCTAACTCAAATTTTCACAGACTTATTTTTGTATATCACAGAAAAAAAATGAGAGGGTTACAGAAACAAAATCTAAAGTAAGGTTTTTTTTTAACCACCCTAATATATGGTAAAATAAATCTGGAGGCGTTTGATCTTCAAGAGCCATAGTACAAAAGAATAGTTTAAAAGTTTTTTAAACTTTTTAGTTTTTTTTAGTATTTTACTTTGTTAAGTCTTTGAGGTTTTTAAGCATTTTAATCTATTTAGGTTGTTTTTTTTAAGTTTTAAAGTTTTTTAGTTATTTTAATTTTAAAGTTCTTTAAGTAAAATTTTTTTTTTTTTTTTTAAAGTATTTTAAGTTTTTTCTTTTTGAAGTTTTTAAAAAAAAATTGTGCTCAGTGTCTTGACTTCAGTGCTTGTTCTGGAGTGGTTAGATTCCAAAGTATGGAACGAGTGTGGTTGAATTTAGGTCAGTCCATCATTATGTGATTAATTGTTAGATGGACTCTGCGTGTATTATGATTATGATTTTCTCTATATTTTATTTGGTATTGAGGTGTTACTTCCATTTTTCGAAATTGGGTTTGAGTGCTCTAAGTAGGGACAATGTTACACATAATATACTTATTATAAGTTTAATATAATTTGTATAGATTCAAAAGCATGCACAATCGTGTATGCTTAAAAGCATATTTTAATTTGAATACTATTTATTAAATAAATTACCAAGAAAAAAATAGTCTAAACTCGTATTAGAGTGATGCATATATTTAATCATATTAAATAAAACAGCTATGTAAATAAATAAACACATGCACCCATCTGAATACACTTAGATTTTACCGTTTCGGTCGATTTAAAAGCCCATCAAAAAATCTCGTTGAAAAAAATGTTTAAACACAGCTTGAAGAATGTGCTTATGGACTCTATCATTTTAATAATTTATTTTAAGTAATAGTATCCCACATCCAAGATTGTAAGTATATTTTTTATAAATTTTGTTGAGTTTTACTAATTCAATTTTTTTGTATTTGCTTGCAGTAACTTTTTAACCAAGTTAAGACCAATGTAATAGGATATTTCAATAAAAATTGCAATTTTAAGTTTAAAAATGTGAATATTTTTAGAGATTTTTTTCTCCTTCATAAAGGATTTCTAATTCAGCGGCTTTGAAAATATAGTGGATCCAGTCATATAAAGATATTTGAAATAAAGAAACATTGTTTTAGCATCTCAGCTCTGCTTAGCAGATTTAAACATAAATACTAATTGTTTATTATTATTTTTGCAGATAAAAATGAAACTTTTATATATTTTAATTTCATTTGTCTTGGTGAATTTTTTGGTAGCATTAGGTGATTATTTTATTTTTACACTTACATTAGACAGTATAAATCTGTAAATATATTTAACTTATTTTACAGATGACTATGTAAAACAGGTAATCATGACAAGTCAGTTGACATATTTTTTAATTATACAAAATTAATTTGTTGAGTCTTATTATGCTTATGTATTTATTTTTTTACAGACCAACAGATGATACTTGTAAGAGGTAAAATATATTTAAGTATTACAATTTTTTATTTTTGACATTATTTAAGTCAGAAATTGGTGAAGCTAACAACATTAATAATGTTAAGTGAAATGGTAATCGCTTAAAGCATGGTAAACTCTTATTCTGAAGGCTTCTGTATTAGCTATGATTTTATTCGATACTTTTTTTTATACCTTACCACAAGTATTGCTTAAGTACTTTTTAGCTTTTTTTGTAGCTAAACCCATTATTTTTTTTATTCTAGATAAATTGCTTACAGAAATTCATAACATGGTTTTTTATGGAGAATTCACGATGGGTAATCATAGTTGTACATTAAATATAATAATAATAATGATAAATCAGATGTAAGTAGGTGAACATATTTAAAAATATATGGTATATATTGCAATAAATTATCATTATGCTAATTTATCAGTGACATAAATCTTGAAATTCACATTAAAATCTGAATGGTATCTTTCTAAAAAACATAGCTAATGTTACTTTTTTTAATCTCGCATAATCATTTTATTTTATTCTACTTGCCACATCTGCTTCAGTTCAGCCATTCTTTTACATTGCCTCTGCACATATTTTTCCAAATTCATAGAACATATTATGAGTCTTATTTTTTATTTTAGAATAAAAAATGTCACTCAATATTACATATTTTTTTTATGATTTTTTCAGTGGAATTAGCTTTAATGTTGGCAGTGATATTTTGGGTACAGCAATCCGTGCACCTGAGATGGACGAAGGTAATCACAATAATTTATACATTTGGATGGTTTGGTAAAGTTATTACTAGTAATGTACAAGTTCAACAAAAAAGGGACTGAACCTTGCGTTAGACCGTTAGTTAGTCTACCAGTTTCCTACCAATGCATATTCTGAATATTGTAAAACTGAGCACACTGTTTGAGAGGTTGAAAAGGGTTTAACTCTAAAAAATATATCTCAGAACTTATTCGACAATGTTTAAAAAGGTTACACTGACTCTAAGTTCAAAAATAAATTTATTTTTAGGTGTTTATCTCGTTTTTAAGAGGGTCAATATAAAAGGATTTTAAGTTTTGATTAATGCAATAAATTACCTACTAGTTACTGATGGTAGATAGTTGAAAAAATTTTCAATATTATAGTTCATTAAAATGTAATGGAACTCTAAGCTTCAATCGAAGGCAACATTTGGGAGTTCACCCTTAACGGTACTTTGAAGGAGTTACTTTCCTTCCAATTAAAGGACTAATAAGGACCACTTTTGTTTAAAGTACTATCATCATTATCCATTTTGCATACCTTCTAATAACAGAGTTTTCAATAAATTAAAAAATAATAGCAGGAGCTTGTAGTTTGTTATACGAAAATATATTTTAGTAAAATTATTTCACCTAAAAAATATTATTATATTTTATTGTACCCATTAGGGTTGTAAAGTAATATCAAGTATAATATATGGACTATGTATAGTATAAAATGGTAGGTAGTACATACTGTGGAGTGTAGTGGCTTTAGTATATGACCTAAAAAAAATGGGTTTTGTTAATATTGCAGGGTATAAGTATTCAACGGTTGTTTGTACTTTGTTCCAAAAATATGTTTAGTAATATCTATTGTTAGGAAATAATGTTGTTTAAAAAATTATTCAAATAATAAACTAAAAGTAATAATTTTTAAAACCCGAGGAGAAAGTGTATACGTTTAAATATTGTTTGAACGGATATCCGAAACTTAACAAAAAAAAAAACCTCAATTTTAATGCTTTTATTAAAAAGTACTCTGGCTGAGTTATTAGTTATTTTAAAAAATATATTAACAGGGAACATGGCTAAAAAATAAAAGAGAGATATTTAATTTCCGGCTTTCCATTAAAAAAAAACATAAGGCCTCAAAAACAGTATGAAAATAATTTGCATTATATTAATTTCGAGATGGTGATATTTAAATTTTTTTTTGCAAAACCAACGAACCTTCGACAACTTGGTGAATACAATAATATATCAATTTTACACTTAAGACTATTTTACAACAACAACTTGGAGAGTTAATAAAACCAATAAGAAAGGAGAAGTATCTAAACGTGCAATGTACACATGATATCATATTAAAAAGAAAACAGCTATGTAAATAAAGTAAAAAATGCGCCCATCCAAAATTTGCTAGAAAATCACTTTAAAAGGCTTTCACAAGTCGATTGAACTGTTCGCTTAAAAATCCTATCATTTTTTTTTTTTTTTTAAGTAACAGTAACCAGTTTCCAACCAAGATAGTAAGTTATTTTTAGTAAGTAATTTAGTCAGTTATTTTTCAAACGTTTAGAAGGTTTTTTTTTAAAGGTTATAAATATATTAACCGTTTAATTTTTCAATTGGAAAACTTGTAATTGCATAAAAAATAATGTCAAAAACTACATTTGATCTTCTTGAGTACATGAAAAAATATAATTTAAAAAAAAAAAACATAATAAAACATCATTCTAGTGACCAATTTTCAGCTCTGCGTCGAAGCAAAAAAAAATCTGTAAAAGAAAAAAGTCCAAAACCAGATTTTTAAAATAATAATTTATGTTTTAGAGAAAATTGTAGATATCTCTTTTGACTGTTTTTTTAGAACTAAGTCTGAATCAAGTATAACCATCTCAGCTCAGCCTGGCTGATTTAAACATAAATATTAATTGTTTATTATTATTTTTACAGATAAAAATGAATCTTTTATATGTTTTAATATCATTTGCCTTGGTGAATGTTTTGGTAGCTTTAGGTGATTATTTAATTTTTACACTTACATTAGCCAGAAGAAAACTGTAAAAAAAAAAAAACATTAAAAATTATTTTACAGATAACTATACTAAGGAGGTTATCATGGCAAGTCAGTAAACATTTTTTTTTAATAAAACATTTTTTTTTTTTAGTCTCATGCATATATTTTTTTAACAGACAAACATATAATGCGCGCAAGAGGTAAAATAAATTTAAGTATTACAATTTTTGTTTTTGATATAAACACAGCATAGATCTTAATTTATGTAAAATAGTTCTTTTCTATCTATACTTATAGTAGCAGTTTCTATATTGGATTTCACTTTAGGCAGTGATTAGTTAACACCTACCAGGATGAGTAATTTTAAGTGAAATGGTAACCGTTTGAAGCCATATTATACTCTTTTTATTCTGAAGGCTTTTATATTAATTAAAATGTTTTTTAATATTTTTTTTTATTCTTAACCACAAGTATGTTGCTTAAGTACATTCCAGCCTTTTTTTTTATAGCTAAACCCATTATTTGTTTATTTTAGAAGATATGCCGCAAGTAATTCAAAATATAGTTTGTTTTGGAAATTTTAGAATGGGTAAGCGTAGTCATATAATAAATAAAATAATAATAAAGCGTGATAGTAGATGAAATTATTTAAAAATGAAATGTATGATATATATTGCAACAAGATTTTGGCATTTTTTTTTTTTTACATTGCCACTAAATTTTTTTTTTTCGAATTCATTAAACATAATATTATGTGTGCCTTCTTTTTACTTTTATTTTATTACTTATTTTTGAATTACAAATTAAACCTAGTGTTATTAAATAATACATATTTTATGTTATTTTCAGCGGAATTAGCATTAATGTTGGCAGTGCCGGGTAATAATTTTCTTAAATTTTTAAGGAATTATTTCTACACAGTTGTTTGATATTCATTAAGTACAAAATGTTTTTATTATTATTTCAGAATTCGACATACGAGATGACCTAAAAGATTACTTAGTGCATAGTAAAATTTTAGCATTTAATCATTTTAAATATTAACAAAAATCATAGGCTTGAAACTTATTTGGTTTTAAATTTTAGAAAAAATAGACTACCAAAAAATTGTGCGAGAAAAAATATGGTGTTCAACGAGTAAATATATAATTTAACTTTTTTATACAATTTTTAAATTTGATTATTATAATATAGTTGTAAATAAAACGATGAAAATAATTATAATCATATTCCTTTTGGTATTTTTTACTTGACCGAATATTTATTTGATATTTTGATTACAGAAACCCTAGCACCTTCGATAGACGAAGGTAATCATAATCATTTAAGAACTTTTTAGAGACATTTCTTGATAAATTACTAATGTACAAGTATGGGGCAAAAGCTAAACCTTGCTTTAGGCTGGTAGTTAGTCTACATTTCTTGGGTTTTGCACAAAAAATCTCTAAAAATGTGTGTAGCAGTCCAGCTCTTCTACCTTCAATCACTGTTAAGACTATGCATGTTGAGGAAGTTTCTCCACCCTACCCTATTAAATGCCTCCTTGGTTTCAAAGTAACTTCTAGGTACTAATGGTAGATTGTACACAAAATTAGAAACATTATTGTTCTTTTAAAATGTAACGCAACTCCATCGCGAGCAACTGATTATTCATTTATTATTTTTTTTTTAGACCTTTATAAAAACGCTGATCTAAATGGTTTGGGAGTTGAAAGAAGAGGCATGACTATGGAAGCTATAAAAGCTTTATTCAGTGATATACTAAGTAAATGTTCAGATAATTTTTTTCACCTATTTTTACATCATACCTTTTATTTATAAATATATGTAATATAAACGTCTAGTTTACACTAAATGTAATGATTTTAACAGTACTAGTTTTATTATCATATAAACAAATTACTTTTTCGATTATTGTATTTAAATAATAATCATTTTATAAAAAAAAAAAAAATAATGTTAATTTACACACATTCATTATTAACACGTGAACTCAAAATGTAGTTTTTTTTTATTATTAGAAGTACATTATGTTTAGACTTTGTCTTTTCAATTTTGTTCTTAGCATGTCTTGTTGTTGTTTTATTTGCGAATGAAGAAAGATAGTATCAAAAGAGCTAAAATTAATTTTTGTTGTTTTTTTTTTTAGGTGGAAAAAATGAATATTTCATAGATTATTCACATATGTGTCGTTTAATGGGAGTATTCAAAACTATTCACCTCAATTCAAAATCATTTATAGAATGTGCTGTTGTCCCTACAAGTGGAGTTTGTGTTCTAGTGGATAATAACAAAAAGTCGATCAGCTACTATAAATTTGATGGCAAAATTTGGGAAATGAATCCTGACGGTACCCAAAAGGAGTTACTTGCCGATCAAATAAAGTTCTGGTAAGAACTACTTTTTTTTAAAAATAAAAAGTACTATTGTTATTATATTTTTGCATACCTTTTAATGACAAAGTTGTTAATAAATGTAATGTATTTAAAAATAAACAGTTTAAATAACTATTAAGAAAACATTTGTTGCTTGTGTATTGCTATGATAATAGGTATTAAATAACCCTATGATAGGAGACAGCGCACATATGATCGTTGAGTTGCCGATGTCTTTGAATGGTCAGGGGCAACGATTTTATTTGCCGCTGAGGGACTTCCGTGCAAGTTAGGAAGACTAACCACGATGATTTCAGGGGAACCGATTAACATCTCTGAGAGTTAAAGACAAAGCTGACTGAATGTAATAAAATCCATTTCGTTTGGTTTTTCTCAATTGAAAAAAGTTTAGCCCCATCTTAGAAAATTATTCGGAATACTGATGAAAAATATATTTTTTTTATTTTTATATATAAGTCAAAACTAAACTATATATCCATAATCAATCTTGAAGGAATTTTCATAAGCTTTTAAACGCTAGTAGTTAGAACCAAGGGTCCTAAAAATGTACAAAGATATGCATAATTTAATAAAACATAGTATATCTTGTGTGTTATAAAAAATTAAGAATAGGTACCTTTGCAACTAGCTAAAAAAAATCAGAAAATAATTCCCCTTTAAACTTCAGTATAATTAAAAAATTCAAATAACATATACATATACAAATGAATACAAACAATTAGGTGAGTTTGAAAATCCTAAAGAATTACAATAATTATTAATAGGTAATAATTGTTTTAAATATAATAATTAAAACCAATTAAGGGGTTCAGGTACACAAAAAACCACTCATATTGTCCTTCAATAAATATTTCTTTAGTGTACCTAATAAAAAGTTAAGAATTTTACAGCACAGTTAAAATATGTATTAATCTAATAAAATTAGGGCTCTCATTTTATGTAAAAACTAAACAAAAAGTCCACCGGTCATTAGAGGGGTGGGGGGTATTAACTGCTATTTTACTATTAATTGCTTTTTGTGTCAGTTTACCATTTCAAAATCAAGTGTTTTATACGCCTTAATGTGAAAATGTGGAAGTTTTGTTTATCTTTTAAAACTAATTTATTGCTACAACACAAAATATGGCAATTTATTATTTTTTCACGGGTGTCATCCGGTTAAGAATTATTATTATTATTATGTTAAAAGTTAAAACGCCTGAAATCGAAATGAGGCAGTCTTGATTTATTATGCTCAACTATATATAAAAAAAAACATGTGGCAGTATTATATATTTTTAATCGCAAAAACGAAGAAATTCATACAGAAATATGTTATTGAGGCGTTGGAACATTTTGTAGATAAAAAAATATACCAATAGACCTGTAGCCTTAATTAAAAAACCTAAATTAAGGGTTTCAGCAAATGCCCACTCAACTTTTACCCAAATAACACCACTGTAGTTGTCATTAGATTTAATTGCCATAAAATATGTTCTGGACAAATTCTATTTGAAAAGTACAACAAAATGGCCAACCGCTAATGGATATTTTGAAAACAGTTTTTTGTGTTTTCTAAATTTCACAATTTGTCCATTTAATATACATTTTAAACCAAGACAATATATAATTTTTTATTTGAGTACCATCGCAACTGTAAAGCAATAAAAAAAAAAAAGACAATAGTATAGTTTAATAGCTGTCAACTAATGCCACCGATTGTTCGACTGTTTAAACAAATAAACTATTTTCCACAATTTTAAATTTCTATTCTGCCATGTTTTTAATAGATTATTTTAGAAAGGGATAAGTCCTAAAAGAAGTAGAAGGGAAGTAGGGGGTAGAGCGCCTAAAAAATCTGATTTAAAATACAACCCGAAAGTGGTTTTGCAATTTTCACATCTTTTAAAACGTTTGTATTTAGCAAAAAATTGTTTGAAACTACAAAAATTTCCGGATTTGGTAAATTGAGTCCCATTTTAACATTTATAGTAAAAATAAGTCCCAGCTAAAATTTTAATACCTCAGTCAAAAACTTTTGGTTTTTTAGTATTAAACTACCTAACACACTTTTTTTTAACAGACCTATTACCATGAGCTTAAGTATAATTTATTTGTCTTTTCACACAGTTGCAAAATTGTTTGTACAAAGCTGCAATGACATTATTGTAGTTTAATTTACTTTGCATTTTATTGTGCACACCATTATTACACTGAGCATGTTATTAACATGACCAGACTAGGTAAACGCCTAGATTTATATACGAATTCCTTCTTACTGTACTCAAAATTGTAATAAAACAATTTCTAGGGCTCAACTTAACCTAAAATTTTGGGAGAAAGAGAGTGGCTAAAAAGAGAGTAAAAAAAGTCACCAGTTAAAAAAAATGTCACATCAAATAAATTACAACCGACTAAATTTTAATTTTGACTTGATTTATTATTATTATAATTATTTTAACAGGATATACATAATTTACAATAAATGATTTATAAAAGAAAAAGATTGTCTCCAAAAGCCAGAGTCTATATCTTATGTCTTAAATTGACACATTTTTATGTTAACAATATTCTTAATAAATAAATTTCAAATGAGAAATAACAGTATAGTATACCAATATTATAAAAATAAATAAAAAAAACAAAATAAATAGATTATAATAATTATTACGAGTAAGTTGAGTGTGTTAAACATGAAAACTGACTGAGCAATATTGCACAATAAATCATTCTCGTGGTGTTGGGCAATAAAATATTGTTTAGAGTTTTGAAACTATAGAACATGCTTCAAACTTTTTTAACAGTAGGTAGTTCCAATGTTAATATGCCATTTTAAATATCGATCAATAACCACACCAAGGTATTTTATTTAAAACATAATATATATTTAAAAGCATATAAAACGAATGTAAACTTTCATTTAATGTGGAGCGTTAACAAAACGAGTAACTAAGAAAAACCAATCGAAACGTGTAATATACATATACACTATCATATTAAAACTGTACCTAATATAAAGAAAACAGCTGTCAATAAATTTTAAAAAACCGCTCATCAAAATACAATTAGATTTTACTTTTCAGTCGACAAGAAAGCCCATCCAAAGTTTGCAAGAAAATCACTTTAAAGTAGTTTTACAAGCTGATTAAACGGTTTGCTTGTAAACTCTTATTATTTTAATACTTTTTTTTAAGTAATAGTAACCAGTTTCCAACCAACATAGTAAGTAATTTTGTTTTATACATTTTGTTAAGGTTTACTAATTAATTATTTTTCTAACTAATTTTTAACCGATCAAACGGTTAAAAGAAAATGGTCATGTATTTCATAAAGGTTTTTTTTTAAATGATTAAAAATATATTAACCGTTTAATTTCATCAATTGGAAAACTTGTAATTGCATAAAAAATAATGTCAAAATTAAATCAACTACATTTGATCTTTTTGTATACATGAAAAAATATTTTTTAAAAAAAACATAATTTTAAAACCAATTTTCAGCTCTGCGTCGAAGCAAAAAAAAAATCTGTAAAAGAAAAAAGGCTCAAAACCAGATTTTTAAAAAAATTATATATGTTTTAGAGAAAACTCTAGATACCTCTTTTGTAGAACTTAATCAAGTATAACAACTATGGCTTTCAACAAAATTTTTAATTTTAAGTTTAAAAATTAAAATTAAAAATAAAAGTTATTTTTAGAGCTTTTTCTCTCTTTTATAAAAATTTTATTATTCAGCGCTTTTGAAAATGCCGTGGATCCAGTCACATAAGATGTTTGAAATAAAAAAACATTGTTTTAGCATCTCAGCTCAGCCTAGCAAGTTTAAATATTAATTGTTTGTTATTATTTTGATGCAGATTAAAATGAATTTTTTCTACATTTTAATATCATTTGCCTTGGTGAATATTTTGGTAGCATTAGGTGATTATTTTATTTTTACATGTACATTGCACAGTAGAAATCTATAAAAAAAAACACAATTTTTTAATTTCTTTTACAGATGAATTAACAAAGCAGGTTATCATGATAAGTCAGTAAACATTTTTTTTCATACAAAATAATTTTTTTGAGTACTTAAGTATTTATATTTTCTTGCAGACAAACAAATGATGTATGCAAGAGGTAATATATATATATATATATATATATGTGTATATTTTTTAATCTTATTGACATTATGTTAATGTATGTCTAAAATTATCAAATTAAAAATTTTAGCAGCATGAATACTTAATTAATGTGTATCAAATAATTTATATACTCAATGAAGTAGTTTCTATAATTAAATTTAGCATTAATTTATCATTCTCATAGCTATAACTCATGATTTGTTTATTTTAGATTATTTGCCGGATGTAATTCAAAACTTGGTTCTTTTTGATAATTTTAAAATGGGTAGTAATAATAGTTTTATTTAAAAATAAAATGTATCATATGAACTGCAACAAATTATCATTATGTAAATTTCTCAGTAATGTAAAGCCTATTTTATGTGTCTACTACTTGACTGCTAATGCCATTTATTTTCAGTGGAATTAGCTGTAATGTTGTCAGTACCGGGTAATAGTTTTGTTAACATATTATGGAAATATTTCCATATAGATTTGTGATATATTTTATTAAGTAAATTTTTTTATTTTAATTTCAGAAGCCGAAACAGACACAGCAGCAGCAGAAGAAGAAGAAGACTTCATATATTACGTAGTGAATAGTAAATATTTTATAGTAAAATTATTCTTTATAATATTTGGAATAATCATTGACTTACATAATATATTGATTTCTATCATAACAAACGATTGAGGTACATTAAAGTGTACATTTTGTTTTAATTTTTAGATAAGTTACGATACCAACAAATTGTGCGAGACAAAATAGAGTTAATAACATGTAAATATAGTATTTAACTTGTATACAATTATGTCTATAAGTTTTACTTGCCCATAAAATTATTTGATATATTTTGGTTACAGCAATCAGTGCACCTGTTATAGACGAAGGTAATCACAATAATTTTTAAATTTGTCAAAAGTATATCTTGGTAAATTGCTACTAAACCTGTTTTCTCAAGTTATGCTGATAGTAAAATAGTCAACACACATTCAAGTGGGTTCATTTATACAAATTTAAAACTTATTCAGTTACACTAACACAAGTCAAAAAATACATTTATTTATTTCACCATTTTGAAGGGTAAAAGGCACGATTAAAATATACCAGGTTATTGCATATCCCCACTCTATGTGATTATTTTTTCACAAAATGGCAGAGTAACGGGCGGCATTCTCATTGGCCGATATTTACCCGCGCAAATTTGAAAACAAAAATTGTATTTTTACAAATTTAACAATTAAAAAATACTTATTCCAATACAAATTACTAATACCACCTATGAGAGCCCTTAGAAAAGAAAAAAATGAAACTTAGTTGTGATGAAAAATAAAATAAAATTTTAAACACACAAAAACTGAAAAAAGAAATAGAAGAAAAAAAGAATAAATTAATCGAACAAGCCGGAAAATTATAATTACAATTAATAAACAACTAATAATAATTAAACTATAAACACTTTTCATTCTTCTTATTTAGATGCATTTTTTATTTCACGTTATAAATATGTAGACAACTATAAAATCTGTATCGAATAAAAAATCCAAATTAAAAACTAGAATTTCTTATATTTTGTTCACGTGTAAGGCTTATAACACTGTAAGCTGATAAAAGAAAAATAGCTTATCGTAGTTGTTTAAAATGTAATGCAACTCTATTTATTTTTTATTTTTCAAGAGCTCTATAAAGACGCCTGGATGTCAGGTTTGGGAATTGAAAGAAGAGGCATGACATTAGTTGCTATAAAAACATTAATCCGCGCTGTAATAAGTAAATAATCAGATCATTTTTTTACCTTTTATACATCACATATTTTATATGTAAATATATGAAGGGTACAGGGAAAAAACCAGCAAACTCACTTTTTTCTAATCTGAGATAAACACGTTTAAGTAAAGCTAAAATATGTTTTAAAATGTTAAAGAAATACTTAAAACAAAGTGATTAACTGTACTAGTTTTATTATTAACATACAAAAAAAATGTCTTCCTCAATGATTGTATTTAATAATCATTTTATAAAAAATAAAATAATGTTAATTTACAGACAATCATTATTAACACATTTTTTTTTTTATCAATAGTAGTATTCAGCTCACATTCGCAGTAGGAACATTATGATCAGACTTTGTCTTTTCAATTTTGTTTTTATTCATTGAACGCCTTGTACTTGTTTTATTTGTTGAATTATTTTGGTTTTAATTTCAAACAATTACCTATTATGTCATTACTCGAGTAATAGTATGTACTTACTACAATAAAAACTTAATCATCATCAATAAATACTTTTCTTATTGTAGAAAATCAACCACAAAGCGATACAAAAATGAGCTAAATTTGATTTTTTTTTTTTAGGCGGAGATAATCAAAATTTCCATGAATTTTTTGACCTGTGTCGTTTAATAGGAACATTCAGAAGTATTAAATTCGCGCCTGAATTTGTACAAGATGCTAAAATCGACGAAAAAGGACAATGTGTTCTAACAGATATATTCGGAAATACAAGCAGATACTTTTATAGCATTGAAGGCAATATTTGGGAAATCTTCCAAAGCAGTATTGCATTGCAGGCACTCGCCTTTCAAGTAAAGCATGTATAACCTGTTTTTAAAGTACTATTATTATTATTATTTTTATTTATTATTGTCAATAAATGTAATGTATTTAAAAATAAACAGTTTTAATCGCCATTATGAAAACATATTTTGTTCTGAAGAAAAAACCCTTACAATTTCTCAGGTAAATAAGTTTAGTGTTCATATTGCATCAAACCCAGGATAATCCAATGATTTTTCATTTGCATCTCGATTATTACTTTTTTTATTATCCCCCCAAAAAAAAAACCTATGCTCAAAGAGTTCTTTCCCCTTTTTAAACAGGCTTTCATGTATTTTGTACTTGCAAGTATATTATAATAATTTATGAAAACTTCCAAGAACGACCAGCCGTTATAAATGTAAAAAGTGCCAATATTTGTATGGTCTATATTATCAATATTGCTTTAGGCACAGGACGAGGTCAAACATCAAAGTCAGGCCTAAGGGTTATCCGAAGAAACTGTCATAAAAACGAGGTCATATTACACTCAAATAGATATTTTTTACAGCGACTCGTGTCTGCTTGGGGTATTCGTTTACTTGTAATTTATTTATATTTATATATAAGTGGTCAATTTCAGTATTGAAATTTTACCAACAAAAGTCCACTTTCGAGAATAACGTTTTCAATCATCTTCTTCAGACAGGGAAAACCCAAAACAGTTTTGTTTGTTCCAAAAATGTATTCAGTACCATCTATTATATTGTTAATTTTAAAAAAAATGTCAAGCAACCAAATAATAATGAACTAAAAATAATAATTTTTCAAACTCGAAGAGTAGGAACGGAAAGAGCTATTTATTAAGGGGCAAAGGATAGGCAATAATTGACAAAATTTGATTTAGTAGTCATTTTGAATGTGCTGACTAATTTTAAGGTGAAAAAATATCAAGTTTTTCTAGTAGTAATACTTTTAAAGTTATTTTTCTCTGAGTTATGGCAAAAGTAAAGTAAAAAGTAAAAAATAATTTTTACTACAAGAAGTACAATTTACCAATCAGTCGTGGCACATTTTATTTAAAATGTCAATTACTTTGAAAATAACCGAAAAATAACTACAATTTATTTTAAATAATGTTGAACATCTTTAATTTTCCACTAAAAAGAAAAGTGTGGGCCCTATTCGACAAAGTCCCTCATAAATTAGTACTCTGCCAGTTTTTAGCTATTTAAAAAAATATATTAATTGGTTGCAAGGCTAATAAAAATACTGAAGGGATCATGATATTTAATTTCCGGCTTTCCATTAAAAAAAATAAAAAATCCTTGGAAACAGTGTGTAAATAATTTATATCATATTTATTTCAAGATTACCTTAGACAACATGGCGAATACCAATATTATATCAATTTAAGTTGCAGCAATGTCACACCTGTGAAAAAAAAACAGTGTTAAGTATTAAAGCACGATATTTCAAGTTTAAGTAAGTAACCAGGTAAATCAAATATAATGGAACGAACTCGGTGTTTTTTTTATTTTCTTTAAACAAAAACCTTAAAAAGAAAAAAAAGTTAAAGGTAACGGCGACCAAATTTAATGAATAATTCAGAAATGATAGTGAAATGTATTCTAATGCAAACCGAGAAAAACTTTTTGCAAAATGTAGAAAATAATACATAACCGAATGTCTTTTATGGGTTTTTTTTCTTCCAATCAAGTGCTGCGAGCATATTGAGTTTTTTCCCACACAAAGTTTTAATTGTTTGAACATTTTTAGTTAGTTTTTTGTCAATAATTGATTACAATTTTTTGTAAAACTAAATTAATCACATTGAAAATGAAAATTAACTTCCAACTTAAGTTAACCATAAAAAAAAAAAAAAAAATACCAATTTTAATGATCTAACCTTAACACATTTTAGAGCAAAAACAATTTCAAATAAGTATCAAAGTCTTGTTGGGTGTACGACATAAGTAGACGTCACGTCATGTTTGAATAAAGTTTATTGAAGCAAATAATAAAAAAGGAAATAAATACAAAACGAACAAATAAAATAGGTAACGATCAGACTACGTATACACTAAGTAGACTTCATAGCCTTTAATTAAACATAATATTTTTAGAGTTATAAGTCATCACAATGTTTTGTTACGGCATTTTATACAAAAAAAAAAAAAGAATATAATATATATGTATAGGAACCGATTGGCGGGTTTCAACTATTTGATTTGCTTGGACATTGTCCGCTATCCTGACTCGACGATTGCTGTTGAATAAACACGGGCCTCACATTGTCCGGGTTCACAATTCGTGCAAACATTTGCGATCTCCCTGTATTTATTTATGTAAAATTAAATTAATAATCAATAATATTTATCGACATAAACTATTGAGATGCAATCGCGTAGCGCGCAAACTCACCTTTAACGCCGTGTTGCGCAAGCGGTATCACTTTGAGTCCTTGGATCGACTTCAACGAACCAGCTGGCACAAGTATCTGTTGCGAACCTTGTTGTAACACAGTGTACGTGTTGGCCGTTGAATTCACTACGGCCGAGTTTACCATATTGGCCGACGACGAAACACTTGTAAGAGGAGACGTTGGTTGACCCTAATCGATTTAATTCATACATATTACAATTATATAAAAAAATATATTTTTTTAAATCAAGAAGAAAAAAACTAACACAATTGATTTTTGTTACCTTGTTGGTCACTATTAAAGATTTTCCACCAATCTGCGACTGAACTACGCGCAAAGTCTGAGGCTGACTGGTGTCGACGTTGGGCTTTAAGCGTTCGTTTATGGACGTTAACCGAGTAGGCATTTGCTGATGAAAATAAATAAATAAATAAATAGCGACAGTGTTACAAAGATAAAACAAAATGGGTCTCGAGTATTATTCAGTACCTGTCCGATCGTTAGCTGATTCGAAGGCATGAGTTTGGGTTGTGCGACCGTGACGACGGTGTACTGAGGTTGGGCGCCTTTTGAAGTTTGAACGCCAGATATTCGTAATGAAGTACCTGGAAAAAAAAAAGTCAACAAACATTATTAGGTGTGCCGCTTAAGACTTCGCAGTTCAGTAAAAACCTCAGTCGTCAACAAACCTTGGCTAACTCCAGTTAACTTTCTATTAGCCAAAACCGTTTCAACGGGCAACTGCGCTCTTGGATTTGACAAAAACTTGCCAACAAACGGTTTGGCAATTCGTCTCTGCACAGTTTGACCAGTCTGTTTGGTGGCTTGTAATAACATGTTTGCTGTGGCTTTAGGCGTATTCTGTTGGACTTTCGTACCGTGGAGCGAAGTCAGTATTGGCTAAAAATAAAATGACGAATGAAGTATATTTTTTTAACAGTAATTTTCATTTTCGATGGCAAAAAATAGAATTTTTCAACAACAAAATTTTAACACTTTTTCAACAAACCTTTAAGGCAATGGATTTTTGTTCATTCCCTTGCTGCTTGACCATCACTACCTGCGTCTGTTGACCGGTCTGCTGTTGCGATCTCATCAACAACTGCTGCAATTGCTGCTGCGTGATCTGCTGAGGTTCCGAATGGTTGCCTCTCAATCCTTGTTTTACGAAAATCACCTGTGGATGTTCACCACCGTCGCCAGATTCGGCTTTGTCGTCAACTTCGGACTTTTTAATGATCACTTGTTGTTTGTTGTGTTGCAGCACTTGTTGTTGAAGCTGTTTATGCTGTAGCAACTTCAGCTGCTGCATTTGTTGTTGTTGTTTTTGCAACTTTTGTTGTTGTTGCTGTAGTTGGATCAACTGTTGTATGGGTTGATGTTTTGCGATTGCGTCAAACTGGCTTATTTGAATATTTCCTCGGTGTTCGGAAACAGCCTGATCTGTCTGATCGGACCGCTTTTGTTTCAAAACTAATATCTGTCGCTGAGGTTCTTTATTCTGAGGTGGTTTGGCTATAGAGAGATGGTCATGTTGGAAATTCGTTGAACCTACAAACAATTAGTATATTTTATTACAAAAAATAAGCAATCTAACCAAACACCATTGTTCAATATAAATTAATAATAATTCCATTTAGCTAGAAAAACCATTGTTGGCTTACCGCTCGTCGTTCCAATGGTTAGAGGCTGAGTGAGTTGAACATTTTTTACAGCCTTTTTCCTGGGACTTATCGCTATGAAGTCGCCCGACGAGATAGCGTGTTTCTGAGTTAGGTTATTGGCGACAACTTGACGGCTGTGTACGATTGTTTGATTATTGCTGCTTACCGTCTGGTTTATGTTGATGATTTGGCCATTATTTACGACGACCGTTTGAGTGTTTGCAATTTTTATATTACCAGAAGTGGTAATAGCTGGCATGGAGGAAACACTGCCTGCATTACTGGAAACTGCTGTAACTAGGTTGTTAGCACTGGTAGTGGCCGCTGTAGCGATACCGCTGGCAGACGGCACCGAAAGACGTTGATGAATTTCAGCGTTGTTTCTATTAGCAGCCGAGCATTCCAAACTTATGTCGTGGGCAATGTTATCGGGCGTTTGCACCGTTTGCGTTGTCTGCATTGGTGCTTTTCGTCCCCTGATAATTTTAGGAGGTTTACTAACTACTACATTGGGTTTTCTAATTCCTTCTGAACTGGTCACTACTTCTTCGGCCACCGACACTGCCAAGTCGCACATCACCGGCGAGGTACTAGAGCTTGGCAAAGAGTCCGACGTCGAACTCGTAGGACAGTCTAACATTGACAAAGAGTCGGTGAACGCAGTGGACAATGATTTTTGATTAGCCGTAGTGACCTTTGGTTCAGGTGACTTTTTCACAGGCTTACTTCTTCGCCAACATTTTGTTTTAACGGCTCCTTGCTGCTCCAAATGTAATCGTTCTAGAATGAAACAAGAAAACTTCATGACAAAGCTGTGCAAGATCATGAATATAATAGGTTAGGTTAGGTTGTTGAACATAAATAACGATAATAATAACTACAATAACTGAATAATGTACGAAATTATATATCGTTTTTTGATTGAATAAAAATCAATTTAAAAATGCTCATTTCAGCGTTACGACTAACATAAAACTTGTTCTTGTTTTTCTACAATTAACTACGACGTACCAAATTCTTCAACCGATCGACCCCTATGAAGGTAAATCCATATTTTTCGCTTTGGATCGTACTTGACACACGGGTCGTGCTCATAATGCAGTCTGTCCAAAGCCCCACTAACGGCATTGTGTAATTCCGATTGATTGACTTCCATAAGATACTGAGAGTCTTTAAGCAGAGTACATATGTCACCACGAGTTCCCATTCCGTTTGGTAATCGAGCTGTTGCGTCGCGTACTAAAAAGACAATTATCAACGCAATAAATTAAGCAGTTTCACCAAAAAAACTCAACCATTAACATTACACTTACCTAACACTAATATGGAAATAAAATGAGGTCTATTTTCTATCAACAAGGAATGACCTCGTGCAGCTTTATGAATATTAGACGAATTGTAAATACCCCGCACAGGACCAACGACAGACTCGTAGCCGTGCATAAGATAAACAAATGAGCGGTGTGGTTTCAAAAACCGTTGTCTTTCCTTAAAAAAAAAAATGAAGGGTTTAAAAACGTAAACATTAGAACTGCAATGTTATATTGTATTATACTTGTGATTGGAAAATAGCTCGTTGGTCTGAATTGGACGGTGTGACAATCCAAGCGTCTAACGGTGTAGTTGGCGGTAATGACGAGTCAGTTTCTGACAATTCGAGAGTAGGAATATCTACGGCCGGAGCTATCGGTATCTTTTTATCAGGAATTACGTCTTCCCTCGGACCATTCAATTTTGAATTAATACTATTCAAATTGAGAAGCCAACATCTGCACAACTCTCCAAGTCGATTATCAGAATCTCTTCCGGCTCCGATCCACTGGTAAGTATCTAAGTTTGGTTTGTACTCGATAAAAGGAACAAAATCTTCTGGCTGCCACTCTGAGAAACGAAATTTTATAATAAGTTTGCTCAATTAAAATAAATTCCAATTATATTAAACTACATTGATAATTAATTTGTTTACCAGGAAAGTGTCCAGCTAAAAAGCCGATAGCCGACTGTAAAGCGTTAGACCACGTTTTTTGCTCCAAGTATTGAAACCAAACGGGATTTTTCACTTCGTCTGTTAATGACGAAGTCCAGTTTTGGACATGTTTCATTATAGACGACATGTTCATACGGTATTCCCAATTAGAACATATTATATCTCGAATTAGTGCAAAAAAACTAAGTGCCACTTTTTCCATTTCGGGTAAAGGTCTGTTAATAAGACGTTGTTTTTTTTTTAATGAATAAAAACAATATCGGTACACACGTTTGTTAAAACAATATACACTTACTTGATACCCAAATCTTCATTGCATTCGCTTTTAATGTCCAAAACGTGGAATCCTTCCAATTCTGACAACGCACCGACGTAGTTAGAGTCTGTGACCACTTTACTAGGCGTGGACACCGGCGACAAGGACAAATGTTTAGAATTGTAGTCGTTTGGCGTTAACGCACGAATACAAGACGGCAACATTCGTGGCGGTGAACTAAAAATAATCATAAATAGTTTTATTTTATTATTGATAACTATAATTAATATATTTTTTTGTTTTTACTAAGAATACACATTACACTTACTCGGTATTTATAGTCTGAACTGTAGTGGTTAACATGTCTTCTGGATGGAATTCTCGTTTTACAGAATAGTTCGACGGACAAAACTGGTGGTTTTCAGTGATCTTTTTTAGAGGCGGCGATGGCGATACAGGCGGATTGTATTTCTCTTCTACGTCGCTCATTTGTTCCAATAGCATAGCCGCGGCAGCCTGGCCTTCTTCGGCTTTGCGTATTTCGTCCGCAGTCAATTTTACAGCTTCGACAGGTTTATTATTTTCAATTACTTGTTCAATTTTCACTAGGTCTCTGTTCTGAATCGAACTGATACAAGATTCTAATTTTAAGGTGCTCAAATTGTCCTCTGTCAATAATTCTTCTTTGATTACTTCGGGTACAAGCGGCAACGAAGACGGTGGTTGTGGTAGTTGCGGCGGTGATGGTGGTGGTGGTGGTGGTGGGGAGGTGGTGGAGTCAGAGGCAACGGCATTGATAGTGGTGGAGGCGGCGGTGTCAGTTGTCGAGGGGGCGATGTCGGTTCTGGCGGTGATTCTTCTTTTACTTCCAATTTTACAAACGGAACGACATTATTTATGGGTTCCGCCGGTGCCAGCCCTGGCGAAGACTGTTTAATTGGTTTAGTTTGTATTTCTTCTGTTTTTACAGCAGTTGAAGGTAGAGGTGATTGCTTAGACAGTTTTGGTCGTTTCGCCCGTGGTCTTTCACTAGTCGCTGATCTCTTTTTTTCAGATGTCAACGGTAAGGCTGACGACGACTTGATAGAGTCATTGAACAGGCGTACCGATAACTCATTTTGATCCTGAATAATAGTACAAATTATTATACTACATTGAAATATAACATTTTATTATTTTATTTGAAATGATTATTCGATAAAATATAATGAATGAATTTTATTGAATAATGCCAATCTGTGGATACACAAATTGGAAACAACAAAAATTAAAATTACTTGTTCGATTTTCTTCAGCTTCCTTTTATGCGACACTAACATCTCCCGGTACATATCTTCCGTGGGTTCAATCGGATTACTCATCGGGAACACTACTTTTGATAAATCTATTCCTTCCGGGTAAGTGGCCAACGTAGATGTGACTGTATCTAACTCGGTCGCTAGTGAATTTTGCACAGCGTCTAAATGTTTTCTTTGTTTTTTACTAAGTCGGGCTGGAGGTCCTTCTAAAAAATACATAAATAAGTAAATTAAATCATTTTAAAAAATTGTCTAAGCTAAAGCATTTTCCAATTTTTTTTTTATACCTTGATAGTTGCTATCTGAACTGTCTTCGGAATCGTCTCCGACTTTTTGTTTAATATCAGAAAGTTCTCGAAAATACCTTCTCCTAACTTGCTGATGCATGGCGAAACTGTTGCTTCCTCCGACGGTATTTGTCGACATTGTAGGCAAACCATTCAAATCGTCGATGACTTTTTTACGACCGGATACTAATTTTAACAGCATATTATAATGATATATTCGCTGATTTCTCCTAAAATAAAATAAAAACCGAAACAATGAAATTGGTCATGTTTTTTTTTTTTATAACACACAAGCTTATACCTATATTCTCTTTTTAGAGAACGTCGCAATAGTGATTTTAACTTGACGGTATCTGGAAGGAAATGTCCGTTTTTCAACTTGTCGTGGAAGTCGTTTATAGGATTTTCGCCAAAGCGAAAACTTTGTCCACCGAACAACATTCTAAGAGTAATCTCTTTTTCCATTAGATCGTTTTCAGGAAATGTGGGAAGAAAACTCTGCAAATGAAAAATAAGCGTGGAATTAATACTCAACGATTCAAATTGTATTTTCAATATTTACTTTTAAATGTTCCTTTTGCTGGTCGCTTAGACAAACCCATGAATTGACAGAAAACAGTTGTTTAAATACTTCTTCGTCCTCGCAAACGCCAGTCGGTAAAACGAGTTCAGTTTTGTTGGCTACAGCGATTTCGGTTTTTAATGACGACGATTCATCCTCGTCTGCAGTACTTGTACTCTCGGAATCCGAGCCAGACTGGCTACTGCCACTGCTACTACCACTTGTACTACCACTACTCGTAGCCGATGTACTAGTACTCGAGGTGGACGACTCGGTATTATCGTCACTGTCGTCTTGTTCTATTTCTGGAGATGATAACTCATCTTCATCAGCATTAGACGTGGACGCTTGAGGCCAGTGTTGATATCCATCGTAACTAGACATGGTGTCAACAATAGCAGCCAGGGATTACGCTGAAACAAAAGTATAAACACATTAGTCGATACAATAAATCAATTTATATCCGTAAATAATTACATTAATAAACTGCTTAATGTTTATTAAATTCTGAATGAAAAAATTGTGAATCGATTAAATGAATACCAATTGATCAATCTAATAAACAAATAGAATGTCAGTTAAAAAATGTTTTTAAAAATATATACAAAACAATAATCATCACTTATAACAGAATTTTTATTTATTATTTATAACTATCGCACTATGTATATATATATTTTTTTTTTGTCTAATCAATAAAAACAACAACATTTTTTTTTCATTATCTTTACAATTCAATGTGTTTTCCCTTAAAAATTGTATTATGTCTTGACAAATGAAAACAATATATCAGACTCTAAATTGTATAGAAATTAATATAATTGATCTAAATTAAATTGTATCTAATTGTATAAATCAGAACCAAGCAGCAATCTAAATTTTAGCAATTATATAAGTAATCTTGCCTTTTAATAACCAATACTAATAATAAGTGTTTAAGCTAAAGAAAGTATGAATTAAAAAAAAAAAATTAAAAGTAGTTTATTTTTAATGTTGCTTTAACTTGTAACTATTTCACGAATTATAAAACAATCTACCAGCTATAACGTAATTTTAATATTATAAAAACAAAAATTATTATTTCGAAACCTGACTGATAACAACTATCAGGTTTAATTGACAATACTATAAAACTGTGTTCGACTGATTGATCAAACACTAAAAAAAGATTTGGCTGTAAGCTTTGCGAGTACAGTAGAAACAAATTTAAACTACGTCGAAGGGGCCGATTAATTTCTGTCGTATTAAATGTAATTATCGATATTCTTAAGACACATTATTGTAACCGAATTTGAATTGTTCGGGTACACAATGTAGGTAAACAAAATATTTACTTAAATTTCATAACACAAGATTTGAATTCAGTCGAGCGTACTCACCGATCGTACAAGACAGCCAGAATATTGTTGTTGAGGTCGCGTTTCGGTGGTTGCTGTCCCAAAGATTTGGCCGCTGTGCACTGTGATCAAGTAGAGTGCATAAATTATATGGTACGAAAATAAATTATACAATCGTCACACGGAATGAATGAACCAGTTTATGTCTTTTCCACTGGATAGCAACGATAATGTTACACACAGATTGATTGCAAACAGCCGCGAACGAGCACTACTACGGTCGGTGACCGCTGTTGCCATGCTGTGTGCGTACGTCGCGGACAAACCATGGTTGGCTTCGTTGCTGTGGACATAATAAAAATTTACAAAATAGATTGTATATAATTGTTGCACTGAGTTCCCACACTAGCCGAACGCTGTTATCGAACGTCACGAACTAGCTGCTGTGTGTATAACATTGTTTACATGCAAACCGACCGCGGTGCTATAATATAACTGCTATAGCAGCAGCTCCTGACACTTGGCTGATAACGATTAAATCATGGAAGAAACGGCGAACGGCTCGTTTTGTCGTTTCTTCCATGAAATATTTTTATAAAAAAAAAAACAAGTGAACTGTAAAATAATAATCAGTGTTGCCGCGTAAGCCGAATTAAGGCCAAATCTAGCCTTTCCTTTGATCCGATCTAGCTAATAAAATAATTGAACTGGATCCTGGCTTTTTATTTTTTATTTTAGCTTACTTTTGGCTTATAACATTTTAATTCTACCAACAATTATAATAATTCTTGAATTTTTTTATGATTTTTATCTTTCACTGTTATCATGTGTTATCAACTTGTGATGTTGAAATAATTTGTATTATCATTGATAACTAAATAGTCTTAACTTGGCACGTGAGTTTTCGACTTTGGTCCATATTATTCAGTTCTCTAGGCCTTCCGAACAGATCCATTTAATTTTCATGTCGGATCATATTGAGTGTCAAAATGGCTGATTTTAATTTTTGCTCTGTTGGGGTAATCCACGATGACTTCAGTGTTCAGATTGTGCAATTACCGGTAGCAACTCTTACTAAGTCACGTATTTCACCAGAGTATCCCTCTACATGGTTTACCAACAACAAAATGTCAAAGCCCCCTGTGAATATTGCCAAGAAACCCACCGATGCCGCGACCTGGGAAAAAATGTTGGGATATGCATTAGATAACCATCAAATCACATCAACATTAGCTGTGAGATTTCTTTATGAGTACATATTGGAGAAATTCTCTGGTACTTTGACCTCAGATTGGAAATCTTACAATGTACTGATAGGCTCATCTGGAACACAAGTTACACCTCTTTCATCTCTTAAATGTAAACATCAAGACAGAGGCATGGCACGCTGAAGAAGGAACCCCGATTGATGATAAAGGGAGACTAAGACTGTTTGCAATAATAATAGCTGGATACCGTTATGGGATTGCATCAGAAAACAAACACGGCGGTTATAAGGCAGGAGTACTTGCAAAGATTAACCAAGTACTTGTTAATAAACCATACTACTTAGGATCCGACTTAACAGCGACCGAGTTAATCAGTGTCAATAAGTGGTATAACGACCCTGAGTTTAAAGTTTTAATTGCCTCGCTAGATATGTTCTGGTGCAAATTCCCAGATTCATACGGTGCAAAATTGAGGGTATGCACTTTAAACTCTAGATTTAAAGACTGTGCTATTATCAGCGAGATTCGTCATCTAACTCAAGTTTCACGCCTAAACATCGGAGACATAATGAAATATATATTCAGCGAAAATGTTGGAGATGAAGTTATGGCAATGGTAAAAAGCACCGAAGAACACTCTCAGGATGATTCATACTTCCCTTACACGCGAGAGTTAAGGCTCTGCAAGAAATCCCCATACTCATTAACTTCCAATGTTCATCTTCATATTTGGATATCAATGTTCTGCGCATTACTTGGTAGTGAAAGATCTTACAACGCCCCAGTAGTGGCAGAGGTAGGACTTTTTCCGGCTAGGAATCTTGCGATGTTTGCTGCTTATCCATTCAGAACACAAGCAAAGACGAACATTAGAGAAGCCGACGCCTCGGCCGCAAAAACGTATGACGAGATGGGAAAAGCAGAAATCAAAGACACAGATCACGAGAAGGATGGTCAAGAGGGGGAAGAGGATTCCAGTACTTACATAGACCCTTCATCGCCATTAGGAGTCTATATGAATATGAAGAAAAATAACAATTGTGTTCGCGCTGAAATGGAGAAAGAATTCGCAACTACAATAAAACAATTTCCTCCAGCGAGACACGGCACTATTGGTCAATTTTTGAGGATGTCATTCTCTGAATATATATAACAAAGCAACCGGCTCGTTAAAGAGCAATCAGAATGGAGGGTAAATTAGACTATAATATCATCATCAGTTATTGTGTATATTACTTGTACTCAAAATTGAACTCGATATTTTTTTTTTTTATAATGATTTTATAAGTTAACTATTTTTTATTATACGATATGAAAACAATAAATATGAAATTAAAGTAAAACAAACACAAGTAGCTTAACCAATCTTCATAGGACCACATACACGTCTCGTTACATAATTACTATGACAATTAATGTACAAATTTTTACCGTAACTTGTATAATGATATTTATTTCCAAAGAAATGACGTAACAACAATAAATATACTTTAAATTTTATTATATAATTCAAAATAAGAAAATGAAAAAAAAAATGTAGTAACCACACCATATAATAATTGTGTACTAGTGCAGTTCTTGTCCTAATAACGACAACTGTTCTAAGAAATCCTGTGCGTTGTTCACAACAGTAGATCCATAAACAATTTTTAACTGAGGCATACCAGGCGTTACAGTTTTGTTTTTAATATACTCCAACAAGTTTTGATATTCAATGTAATTTCCGCCACCAACTATAAACACAATAGCCTCGTTGAATGTATTTTTGCATTTAATATTGTCCGAATTTCGTAGCTGCTTAGGATCGAAATGACGGTATTCGTCCGACGCGTTTGAAGGTTGCCTGTTCTCCAACAGTTCGTCGACAATTCTAGTGACGGGAAACGTGTGTCTTTTGACGACCAAGTTTTTCACACCTTCCATTACAAAAGAAGACGTGTGAGAGAGTAATTTTTCAAACATGTTTACAGACTTGGTGCCTCCTCCGTATTGACTACTGGTTGTCGACGTTATATTGGAATACATTTTCCACCTTTTGATGTACTTCAAAGGACTCAAATCACAACCTTGTTTTTCTAATGCTGACGAATACATGTCCATGTCGGAATCGGAAACCGCATGCGTGTAAATGTAATAAATGATAAAAAGTCGCATTTTATCTTCAGCGGTACCGGCTTCTGGATCGTTGATCACATCCAATATTTGTTTGTCTAACGACGCTTGGCTCATGACTTTCTCTTCGAATTCAAACAGCAGATCCAAACGTCGAGATTTAATGGCCGATAATATCGTCGTGGCCAGATCAGTGTGCATGTCTATTAGCCGTTTCTTTTCTAATAACTGAGGTAAATTGTTTACAGCCGACGTCAACTTGGCCGTATTGTCAGTCATCATGGCCAACGCCACGTCACTTTCTCCATCTAAGCCCATGGATTCCTTGAGGTGTTTGACTTCCTCTTCGGAATTTTTCAAATGTTCCAACTCAGACTGAATAGATTCAGCTACTGTAGGGAATGGACTACCTTTGTGCGTCGCCCAAAACACGTCTTTTGGATCCAAATCAAATGTTTTGGACTTTTTTTGCTCTTGAGCAACAATGACCCTGTTCAAATTTAGTTTCAACACATCATGCACCAACGCTTGGTAAGTCCAAGTATGATGCAAAGGCGTCGCCATATCGACGTTACGATCCAGCACGATCAAAAGGGGCCGTTGAAAATTGTATATGCCCGAGTTTTCTGACGAAAATAAACTGTTTCTTGTATCGCGTACATTTTCTCTTAGTTTTTTATCTAATTTTTCAGCAACCATTTCAGCAGCATTGCCACGAGCACTACGAATAATAGGCAGTGTTCCGAGTGTCACAAACACCGAATAAAGACCGTCGACGGTGTCATCAATCATAACTTCCACGTCTGTATCTTTTGCGTCGGCTCGATTTAAATTATAATAAGAGACTGCCTGAGTATTATGATTACTCAAAACGAAAAGCTCGTCTTCTAAAGATATAAAATTCAAATACTGATCGTAAATTTTATGAACATGGATAACATTTTCTGTTTGCAAAGCGGAACTTGCCAAGTCTTCTAATTTTTGACGGCAGATAGCCGATATGAAATTTAAGTAATATTTTTCATAAACATTGTTCTGGAAATCTTGTGCTATCCGATCCAGATTGTCCTGGTCAGGCATACAAAAATAAATTGCTGCTACATCAGGAATTGGGTCTCGCTCTGAATGGATGTTCAAATGTAGTGTAACACCACATTCTCGTAGTTCTTTGATAGGAATTAACGGCGATAAAATATCTTGGCCTCGACGATCGTAAATTAATACTTTCCATACTGGTTCGGAACCGCTGTCTTTAAAATCTGGGCTGTTCAAATTAAGCATTTGTTTCAGTGCGGCAATCTGCTTAGCTCTAACTGAAGTCATGTTGAACAATTATTTATTGTATTTAAATGAGTGTTTGTGTATATGAAAATTATATATTTTTAAAAACCATTGGATCGATGCTTCGTGCTGCTTGAAATATTCGCAACGAAAAACCTGAAATATAAAATACTATCTTTAGTGAATAAAATTGATTTTTATTTTGACAAATTATTAATGACAAGTGGTTTTTTATTGCATACAATGCCCTTGAATAAAATATCAAACAAATCATGAATTGGACGGGGAATAATAAAATAAAGCGCTGTACTTTCTATTTTTGTCAAATAGTATGAACAATAATAATGAATAAATTACAGCCTACTACGAAAAACTTACCACAGGCCCGGCATTTTGTTTGATTTTAACGCGTTATGGATGTGATTTCAGTTGTGAGTGTAACTTTAACTCGACTTTACAAACTTACAAGTAACAATATTAATAAATTGGGTGTAATTTTTTTTTAAATTCAACTTTCAAGATTGTTATCAATTTGGAATTTGTTATCTATGTAGTGTTGTCAGTTACCACGTCAGTTTGTTAACGTTACCTGGTAACGCGTGACCTAACTTAACCTCAAATTTTATGTTTCGTATCACGTATACGGTGTGAGTTTAACAACAATTATTATTCAACTTTTGTACCCTTTAAACTTGCAACTATAAGAAAAGTTACTTTTCTCCCGTTGAATTAAACGTGTATTTTACAATATTGTAATTCGTATTGTTTCAATTTACTATTGTTGTATTCACCGTAATAATGGCGTTTAATCTAACAGTGAAAATACACCCGGTCGTGTTGTTCCAAATTGTCGACGCTTACGAACGAAGGAACATCGACGCACACAGAGTCATTGGAACCTTAATGGGTAGATATTGTATTATTATAACTTGCATAGAAGTACAGCTTACCTGCTCACATCGAGCTAGACAATAATCGTTTTAACGTTATTTTGTGTTTAGGCACGGTCGACAAAGGAGTGGTCGAGGTGACCAACTCGTTCGGCGTCCCGCACAAAGAATACGAAGACACGGTACAAAGAACTGTTCAATATTTTAAAAAACCATTCGATATTAACTTTTTACAATCCATCACACACAGGTGGAAGCCGACATTGTGTATGCTGCCGATATGTTCAAAATGAATCAAAAAGTCAACAGGTCCGAACAAATTGTCGGATGGTGGGCTACCGGCAACGAGGTGACCACACACTCGCATACCATTCACGAGTACTACTTGATGGAATGCAACAATCCTCTACACATCACTCTGGACACGACGTTAAAAAATGAAAACATGGGATTGAAAGCATACGTCAGGTAAGGACACTACTATTCCACAGTTACGTACAACTTTATTTTCGTTAATATGTTTGTTATTGTATTTATTCGATACGATATTAATATCTAATCCCCTAAAAATGTGTACATTTCTAACCGTTGTGTTTAAAAATGTAGTACACAAATCGGCGTGCCCGGCGGCAAAACCGGAAATATGTTCATCAATGTTCCCATTGAAGTCACTTCCTATCAACCCGAAATAGTCGGACGTAAGTCACTTTTTAACAAATTTACCTTGTTTACATTTTCAAGTTTTCTTCTTTTTTTTTTTCCTAGTGAGTTTGTGTCAGAAAACCGTAGCCGTCGGTCAAAAATGCCAAGAGCCAATTGCCGAACTGGTACAAATCGAAGAAGCGTCGTCGAAAATATCCGACCTTTTAAGCGTAGTTCTAGCGTATGTTGACAAAGTGTTGGCGTCCAACGATTGTAACGTAGCTGATAAAAGCTACATCGGACGCGTGTTGCTCGACCTTATGCATAGCGTTCCACATGTTTCGCCCGAACGTTTTGAAGAAATGTTCAACTCTAATGTCAAGGTGAGATTTACTATCATTTTTACTTTTTATATAAAAAACATATTATATATATTAAAATATACCAATTTTTTTTTTTGCCATTTCTAGGATTTATTGATGGTTATTACATTGTCTCAACTTACGAAAACTCAATTGGAACTCAATGAAAAACTTACGTTACTCAGTTTGTCTTAAGCATACCCCCCCGATAATAATAATATCGACGGCGATATATTATTTATTGTATAAATATTATTCTTAATAAGTCTAGCCCGATTTGTTACACAAATATCATCCCAATAGAATAGTATTGTACAATACCGAAATATCCAATAAATATTATAACATTATAATAAAACAGTTATTCTTAAATAATATAACCAATTTATTAAAGCGATCGTCGTAAAAAAATTAACTGTTGTGCATAAACAATATTTTTCCCTTTAAAATACTTTTATTCATATAACCTTAATTTTAATTTTTTATACAAAAATTTTAGTCTACGAACATAATCTTGAAATAGTGTTAAAATTCAACATCAGCAAATTGGCTGATTTTAAATGTCATTGGCAAAAATCATTTTTATAGTTTAGTCTAGTCTTAGTTCTATTTCCAACAGTGTAAAACTTACATTTGTAATAATTTAAAGTTGATTACTTTTTCAAGTTCATGTTTGGTGATGAAATGTAAGTACTTAAAACGTTATGCCAGTTTTAATTTGAAGAAGCACAACGTTTCTAAGTACAATCTATTCTTTGAACAGATCACATCATATATTGTATATATTTGGAAGTAACATTTGTGTTTTTGGAACAAAAACTGGGCATTTTTTGTTTAAATAACAAAATAATTATTTGAAAACTAAAATACATTTTTATTAAGCGCATTAAACCCCCTTTTTTTTTACTTAAAATTAATTTTTATCAGACTGTTTCAAACAAGTTATTTTAAAAATTAAAATTTATTTGACTATTAAGAGTTAACGTTGAAAATGTAATTAAATAGTTTTTTATTAGCTATTTAAAATTATATAACATTGTAATAATTAATGTGGGTTATATTTTCAAGAAAAAAAAACTTAAATTAATGCCCAGGTTTGTGTAAGAAACAGAGTATTTGCAGTGAGGAATTAACTGGAATCAAATCAAACGAAATATGTTAACATAAAATAATTATAATCAAAGAATGAGTCTTTTGTTCTACAAAAATAAAATCTTAAACAATATGACGTATATATTATCATCTAGTGTTAGTATTAGACAACTACGGTAGTTTTCAATCACGATACTAAAATTAATAATTTCCAACTAACAAACTAAATCAATTTTTCAGTTCTCCAAATACTTTTTTACACCATTTAGTTATGTCGAAACGATTTTGATTGACAAATTGAGAATTTTTACAATAAAATATGGTTATTATTACGCCGGCCAGATCTAGAAAAATAGTGTAACATTTTAAAGAGTAATTTTTGTGTTACTATGAAAGCGACCGTCAGGCGCTACTGACTAGGTTTTATCGAATACGAACTCGAGTTGGCCGTCATTACAAAACTGTATTAAATATAATATAAAATAATATATCGATGGTCGTTTTACATAAATATATAATGTTTTTCTTCATATCACAGATCGCTGTAGTAAGTATTTACACATAATCTTATATATATATAAATCTTCTCATTTCTTCGAATCCACAATAATCTGATCGCCGTTGATTATATTGTAACTGTACAACCGTTTGTTGGGGAACTTCATCTCTTCGGGTCCGACCACTGAGCACACTTGCTGGTCAGCGTAGAACACACGCATGCGATGTGCCGGTATACGGAAAATCTTCTCGAGCTTCTGTTTGAACTCCGACACGGTCTGGTACACGTCCAACGTGTGTTGTTGGCATTGCTCTCCGCAAACCAACAGTACGGGCACTTTGCTTTCCGGCGTCAAATCTATATTGACCAACGGGTCCAGTTTGCCGTGCACTTGAAGTAACTCGTTATATCTAAAACCATAATAAGTATACAAATATATTATTCATAATTAATATAAATTGTTCCTCTACTGGTTCAAGTTTAAATATAGTTATTTATATATATAGTTTGACGATAGCAGAATATTAAAATGAAACTGGTAAGAGAGAACGGTCATTGGTTGCGTAACAGTGGATAAGCCACAATGAAGAAAACACTTATTGGAGTCAAATAACTTTGACTGGATTGCGGAATTAAAGTCATAATATTTATATGTTAAGCAAAATTTAAATAATACATAATTTGTTAATAACATTGATTGTAATTCAACAAATAAAAGATTATTAGACAATAAATTAGATATAAGATAATAAATACACATAAATAATAACTCATTTTTTGTTGAACTTCAGTCTTAAATAATTTTATAAAAAATTATCTATTGTTATAAAAACATTCAAATAATAAATAAAAGACAACAAACAATAAATGCTTTGTAAATTGGGTTGAAAAATGAGTTTGCCACCAATAATGGATTAAATAAAATTTATAATTAAATAATGAATTTTTTTTTTTTTAAATCACTTCATCTGCCCACTTCTGTTTACAATAAATTAGTTTTTCATTTAAAATAAGTAAAACGACTATTTTTTTAATATACATTTTATTACATTTGTTTTAGCTTAGATGACTTTTTCGTTTATCTACTGACGAAAGTGTAAACTCCTTCGAACATATTAAAAATAATAAATAAATGATGGCGGGATAAAAACCATTATTTAATTCCCACAAAGACGGCGGAAAATGGTACCTTCAATTATATCCATTTGTGACACATGTACACGTGTCTTGGCAATCTAGTTTATTATAGTCTATATCTGTGTTTAATACTGATCCATGGGGATGGGGAGGATTCATGGTTCAATGTTTCTTAGAGGGGAAAACAATTTTTGCACATAACCTGGGAACACAATATTGCGGCGGTGCTATGAAAATGGTGCAAATCGTTTAATTTGTTTACCTATCCGGCCGTTCTGCTTCGGGTTTTTCCATGTAAAACCGGATCAAAAACCGTTCGGCGTCTTCCCGCTCTTCCGGCGTTATCTCAGCACCGCCGTTCAACGTCTGAATGCTAGGCAACCGAGCTATGAGCAACTGTCTGCGTTCGTGTTCGGTGTACTCCTGTCTTTCCACGTTCTCCTAAACCCAAAGACAATGATATAGAACAACGCCACAACAATCGTTTACCCCCCCCCCCCCTCCCCTCTCCGGTTAACTCACTTCGAACAACGGACATCCCTGTATTCTGAGATATCTCAAAGCCGGAAATCTTCCCAGGATATCCACGTCGTCCCACGTCCTTATCAACGTCCGGTTTAGGTTGAGGAATCCGAGTCGAGTGAACGCGTCGTGAGGCGAATCCAACGTCATATCTAAAACCAATCATATACCTAAGTTGGGTTGGTTAGGTTAGGTTTGGTTAGGTTACGTTAAGTTTGGTTAGGTTAGGTTTGGTTAGGTTACTCACCACAGACCCCGTTTCCCTGTCTGGGATAGGACAAGAGGCCGAGACAAGCGTCAGGCGAGGTTTGGTTAGGTTAGGTTAGGTCGGAAAATAAATAGATTTGTTATATTGTGTTAATTTTCCTTATATGTATTACGTATGATGTATTAAATTTGATTTCACAATATAAACGATGGCGACCACCCTAAGTATTGCCTAAGGCTTAGAGTACGCGGGGTGGTTGTCGATTTATGGGCAAAATAGTTACTCACCACAGAACCCGTTTCCCTGTTTGGGATAGGACAAGAGACCGAGGTGAGCGTCAGGCGAAGGAGGTGGAGTCATGAGCGACAGCAGAGGGCATTCGGCGAGCACCAACGATTCCAGGTTCGGGAAAGCCCGTCCCAGCTTACACACTTCCGACCACGTGGACACCGGGTTACCCGTGAAGTGCAACCGCTTCACAGACTGCATCTGTATGGACTGACCGAGCTGGTCGTCGTCCAAATCGATGACGTCGTAGTTGTTCATGCTTAAGTGTATTTCCTCCACCCTGTCGGTGCAGAGAAGAGAGCAAATACTCTATCATTAGAGACCCGCCAAACTTAGCCCGGCTTGGCACTAATATACACTCACATTGGTATCCGTTTGAGAATGTGTCTGAAGCTGCTCCAAGTGATGTTGGTCGAGTTGAGCACGATGCTCTTCAAACAAGGATAGGTTTCCCGCATGATGTCTTCGCAGGTTTCCGTCACCACGGCGTTGTTAATGTCCGAACTGAGATTGTTGAAACTCAAATTGGCGAACTTGAGTCTGGGCATGATGTGCAATATTTTGAACACCTACAAAAAAATAAACGTTTCAAAAGGGTTAAGCCAAAGCTAAGGAAGGTAGCGAATTGTGTTAGGTTAGGTTGGGTTGGTTAGGTTAGGTTACGTTAGGTTTGGTTAGGTTACGTTAGGTTTCTGGTCTGTGCTCGTTGCACAGCTGCAAGTCTCATAAGTGTACACTCACTTCGGTCCATTTCGACAGGCGGTTCTGCGCCAAATCCAATTCCTCAACGCCGCGGCACTTGTCCCTCAGGTCAGATTCGTGTCCTGCCGAATCGATGTCGCAGTCGTTGAGCACCAACAGATTCGGTATCATGTTCCTGGGGTTTTTCCGGGGCACGTAAATGGCTATGGGCATCTGGTCGAAAGTGTCGTCCTCGGACGAACCGTATTTCTCGGCGATCGCTTCCAACAGCGAAGGCATGGTCGGTGCTGTTGTTGCGTTTCTTCTTCGTTTAGCCAATTAACAACTGGTCACACTCCTACAGAAAGAAATCGCCCACATACTATAAGAAAGGAGAAATAGTAAAATGGGCACTCGACAATACAGCCAATTATATTATATCCTATATAAGGGGGCCGGCTTACTCTTCCGAGTTTTCTGTAAACCTTAACGCAGCCATGAAAAGCATATTCTCTTAGCTTGGCCACTACTTACTTCTCTTCTTCTAACACGGTACATGCAAATAAGTCTATGAACTACGTTCAGCTAGAGTACCCATTATGTTTTTTTTTTTTTTTTTAACAACACCGCCCAAATACAGTTTATAACATCCCACTCAAAGTGCTCTGGAGTCATTGTTTGGCATACAACAAACATCAATCAACCACACCATTGAACGCAACCGCATTGTGTGTGTGTGTACAATCAACAGACAGCATTTAAAATATATAAGCCAAGACTTTGTAAACTCAAAAAAAAAAAAACAGCTTTCACCCGACCGTCGAAGAGCAGCGCACGTGTTAAGTATAGACTTCTCGGTTTGCTTTTGTAATTGAACAGACTGCAGACATCATCATAGCACACCTAACCTAACCTGTCAATCCTATACGCACAGATCTATCCGTTGGTTGTATAGATCATCATCTTGTCCGTGTCGATTATTCAACATTATTAAGAGGAATCGCCGCGTTGCGTAAAAGCATAGATTTTAAACAACAGTATTATTTAATCCAAGATGGTAAAAGTCATGCTTTGAAAGTGTTTTTTTTTTCTTACTAAAACACTTATCCGATATTGGGGTTACACCTTACGGCTTGAGTCGATTCTTCTCTAACCGTGCAACAAAAAATCGTGATTCAAAAAATATAATACTCCGGTCGTTATATATATATATATATCCGGTGTACCTATACAAACCCGGAAAGGTACACGACCTGCGAATGGCAAGAGGAAACCCGTATTGTCATTGTCGTCGTGAACGAATACGACCAGATGGTTGTTTGGCGGACTAAAGTAGAAAAATAAATAAATAAAAACCGTAGACAGACCATAGAGCAAGGGAAATTATCAACCTATTCAAAATGCTAAATCGGCCACAGCCAGAAATTTGATTTGATCAAAATATAACAATTAACTATTACCTTGACCGATAGGAACAATTATTATGCGGTAACTAACCAACAAAATACTGTAAGAAATCATAAAAAATTAGATTGTTATTTTTAAATAATTTTTCGATTGTGATTGATTACGATAACTGATAGGTAACTGATAACGACAACCATTTCTTTTACTACTTTTCTAAATATATTTATACATATTTCTAATATATGTATGTATAATGGCCGATACATGTCTAATAGGTGTGTTATTATTTTTACTTTTATAAATCGCATTTTAAATTTATATTCGATTAGTGGATAAGAATTGTAATCAAAACAACTACTAACACAATGTGTAATTATATTTTAACTTGTGCCCAATATTATTGTCATCATATCTCTTATTTAATAACGCAGATATTAACAGACGGTCGCTTTCTTTTTAAGTTACAAAAAAAAAAATAGCAGTAATGATAAAAATGTAATCAACAATCGCATTAAGCTGTTATTTTTTTTTTCCAATTTCCTAAGTCGATATACGCAATTATTAGAGAAAATAGCACTTAAAAAAAAAGTAAAATTCAACGTTATTTTTTTAATTGAATATTTTTTTTACTTCCGCATGGAAATAGTGTTAATTTGGAAGAGCTAACTCTTCTTTTTTTTTTTTTAATTGTTCTTTAGCTACATGTATAATCAGTGTTAACTTTTCACTTTTAACTTTTTAAAATAAAAATGACATAAATCACAGTGCTTAGTTTTATAAAAATATATTATTAAAAAAAAAAATTGGTTTTGACGCTTCCTCGTTTTCAACGTGTTTATGGGAAATGTAAAACGCAATACAAAACCTTGAAACGTTTTTTTATTCCATTGTAACAGTAATAATTTTATTTATCATCACGCAATCAATGCGGTTGCAGCATTACCACATATTGGAAAAGACAATAAAAGAAAAAAGAAAAAAATAATATAACACACGATAATATTCTACAGATTTTGTACAACAAATTTTTATTGATATTTTGGATTTATTTAGCAGACAATTAGTAAGCAATATAATATAAACCCGTTACTGTGGTGTACTAAGTGATAGTTTTAATACAGTTTTATATATTTTTTTGGCTGGCTTGTTTTTTTTTTTTTTTTACTGTTGTTACGGGCCAACAACTAATAGTCTAAGGTATAGGTAGGTAGGTAACATGTCGACCAGAACCGCGTTTCCTAAGCGACTCCATTGTGTCGCCTAAACATCCATTCACTGTTCAGAACAGTTATGGTTTTTCTTTTGCTAGTCTTGGAAAATTAAACAAAATTATGCACGTCTGCACCCCCCCCCCCTCCCCCACCAGGGCAACCACTTCCGGGTATCCCAAAAGCAATACAAATGATGTGTCACGATGATCAGACACAATAAATTATATATTATGATAAATAACTATAAATCCAACGGGAAATTGTTCAGTTGTATCGCCATTCGATTAGGTATAACACGCCAGACAGGAGACAAATGTATAAGTTCAGTATTGAAAAAAATAATTGTAATTTTCAATGCAAAATGAAAACTTTAATTTATGGCCAAATACCAACAAAATCTATTATCGTTAAGGCCATTTATTAAGGGGCAAGGGATAGGCAATCGTTGACAAATTTTGACTACTTTAAATATGCCGACAAATTTTAAGATGAAATAATATAAAGTTTTCCTAGTTAGAAAACTCTTAAAGATATTTTTCTTCGAGTTATGATGAAATTTTGATAAAAAATGACTTTTGTAGAAGTCATTTTCTGGCGTATTTATTGGACAGATTTTGATTTAGCTATTAGAAAACTACTTAGATTTATTAGAAAAAAAAACTATACAAAATGTTAATAGTTGTACAACGTTGCCAGGTGACTTGCTATGCAGTTTATATAATGTTATTGTAAAAACGTTTTGAGTTAACAGATTGAGTTTTAGAGAATGAACACACAACAATGGACATAATTTCTAAAATATGGCTCTTAGAGTGCTGGGATCTGTTTAAATATAAACGCTTGAAAAAAATTTTGAAATCATCCTTTTAGCCACCATAGAAAAGAAGTTACACTTCATAGAAAAACATTGTCTAATTAAATACTGATTAAACAAATAAAATATTTCTATTTCAGAATCAAATCTTTTTGGACTTGTGTAGGTACTTTTGCTGAGTAAGGTTTTAGTTGGAACACATCTATTATAAATGTCAAACTACTTTGGCCTGACCTAGTTGACCCGTTTTTTGCAACGTTTCTGACATTTAACAATTTACCCAATTATTGTAAAATCCATATTTTTATGCGTTTCAAAGTGAAAATACTTTGGACATCTCGCTGATGATAGAAATACAAATTATACCTAGTTATTGTGGACCTAAGTCGCTAATAAGAGCACTAGAGACTTTCTATCTTGTAATAATATTATTATGTTTATTCTCGAGGTGTTCTGGTGATAAAACGTTGTCTAAACACCGTTGTGGTCTTTGTATGATAATGGCGTTGTAAAAAAATACCGCACCTGAACGTGTGTCGGATGGAAAACCATATCGAAAACAGTTGCAATGCATTGTTATTATAATATATCACAATATTGTTTCCTACATTGTGTGCGTTTATGGACTATGGCGCTCGTTAGTTGTGGAAAATATACAATGGTATTATTTTATAATAATTGAATTGGACTCGTGACCAATATTGTAATATAAATAAATGGTGACCACACTAGACAATAAGGGAAAAAAGGTTTACCTACCGTAGGTTAGGTTACCTATGCCGTGGTGGCATGCATGCAGGTTAGTTAATCTTTTGGGATTTGCATGATATATATTGGCCAGAAGCCCACAAATGTACATGTACAATATAATTATACAGTACCACTTTCTAACCCTGGCATTTTTTTGCCAACTAAAATGACATCAGTCAAACCGAACCGAAGAAATATTCCAATCAGACTTGCACAACAGCTGCTGCTGCTGCTGCTGCTGTTGTCATTGGAACGTTTGTTTGGAGTTTAAAAGACCGGTTAGGTTAGGTTAGATTGACATGACCGAACTTGAACTTGATCTGGATGAGGTCAAGTAATTCAGCCGGATACGATTCGAGTCGTTATTGTTTTTCCATTCGTCACGACGTTTTTCCTTTTGTTTCATTTGTATGTACATATTGTATTCACTTTAATACAACTTATAAAATCCTTTACACGAACGTCTCAAAACGGTTACGCCAAGAGCCCATAATAATTAATCAGCTGCAAACCGTGTAAACGTAATATCCCGAAAATTATTATAATTTTTTATTACACCATGTCTCAGGGCACACATGTATTTGATTTATGCTACTGTAAGGCATGGCCGTTTGAAAACGAAACAATAGGTATATTATTATGTACAAATTTAGAGTAAGTCGAAATTGGAAAGGTCGGTCGATAAAAATATAACGCTCACTCGCTTTGACTATATTTGTATGGCGAGCAACGTGCAATTCATAGGTAGAAGCAAAAAAAACCAATGGGAAGTATGATTAAACCTATTTATTTGCACGCGACAAACCGAGCCATGTCCAGATGCGCAGATGCATCATCAACATTGTGTCCGTGGTTGAAATATTATATTGCATATCAGAAATACATAAAATGGCAGCGTAAGGGGATATCAATTTTACTACCTATTACTATATGTTATATTTTACTGTGTACATATCACAGATATACCTGTATCATAAACTAGATTTCCGAGTATACTTGCCGCCAATAGAGATAATTGAAATTACCATTTTTCGCCATCTTCGTGGGGACTAGAACCTTATCAGTGATAAGTTATCACATGGTTATAACTGTTATCACTGTTAATAACAATTCGAGTTAAGTTGATAGCACAGAATCACAGGTATATTTATATATATTATTTAATACACACATAAATAACACGAAAATGGCCGACTTTAATGTTTATCGTTGGTTAGCAATCTAGTCTATTATATTATATATCTGTGGTATTAAATGACTGCTGATAATGGATCAGTGATAGTCCCTTATCAGCTTCAGGTAGCTACTCTATTGGTAAGAATTTATTTCTTCTTGATGACATTTTCTGTACATCTCAGAATTAAGAGGTTTTGCGCCGTATTTACTCAGCAAATGCCAACTCGAGCAGTACATTGGGCTAATTGCAAGCTAATAAACAATTATTGTGTGCAAACAGAAAATGTCAAACGTTAATAGCGCAAATAACAAAGCCGTATCGTCAGTCGTTATTATCTTAACAACGACAACAGCACTCTTGCATTGTAAAACGGTAGTCCGGTAAGTATCCGCAGATTGCCAGCGATAATAATAATACTATTATGTTATTACTGCTTTATCTCCCAACGAACGCGCATGCAAATGACATGTTTTATCATTTAAGTTACATTGAAAAATAATAACAACAAAGAACCTAGATAAAATTAAGTAGATACACTCAAACAATATACACAAACGTGATCGTCTGCTTTTGTAATACTATCACGAGTAGACCCTCGCCCACTTATTTATAACGCGATCGTCCTTTTATACCGTTCTTGTCAATGTCTTAAACACAACATTGTGCTGGTAAGTAAGTTCAAGGTCTATACGATGCGTACTACACGGATTACACGTGTATAAAATAAATTATCTCATATAAAGGTTTTCACGGATTGAAATGTTATTAACATGATAATCTTCGGATGTCTTTGGACAAAGTCCACGTGTACAACCCCATTGAATAATTTATTTTTTTCATTGTAATCCATTGGGCGATCAACACTTTGTACTATTGTGCGTGAGAGGACTTGGCATCCGACCAAATAGCGCGGCAAGTTTAAAGGATTTTTACAGAAATTCTAAACGGTTAAACCTCATAACCCCATTAGTGACGAGCGCAGTTAATGCGGTAATAATAATAATAATAATAATAATGGCAAAATTACAAATAAGCCAGAAAAAACTGGACTACGTTGAGGTTTGACGGTTCAAGTTAGAAGCTCTTTTATTTTTTAAAAATACTTCCAATTTACTAAATACGTATATAATATTATGAACGTGCCAAAGTCAATTGCAATTAAATGATCAACACACGCAGAGGCGACCTTACCAGTGCAAAATGATCTATAACACAAGTCCCTTAATAACCAGACCCTACGGCCTATTTAAAAAAACCTTTCATAAACATTCCTCCGAAATGGGTTTCCAAGGTCGACCAAAGTGTGACCTTGTAAGAAACCTTTGTTTCAGTTCTCACACGAACACACTCTCGTCAAAATCCCGTGTTTGATATTGAAATAATAATAGTGTAGTTACTTCTTGAACGCTATAATTTATGTTTTACATATTATAATGATACAGTCGCGTTTGGAAAGTGTAAACTAATAATACTGTATGTAGCTATTATTTTTGTTGGGATCTTAACAACCGGGAAGGAACTTGTTTCATCTTCACGGCCCACTTTTGAGGGTGAATAAACATCTAACGTTAAATATTATTATCATTACAAAGGCAATTAAAGGGGTTTTGATCATTTATTCTCCAAATCAAACCAACATGAAGAAAATAAAGAAAAATAAGACAGTGTGTACTGAACAAAACACGTTTTCAATTAATACAAATTGAAATCGTACTTAAGGAGCTTAACTAATTAATAAATTAATCAAAACCGATATTTTCACAGGTTCGGTTTGCGTTTTCACAGAACGCAAATACAAATAGTAACTACGCAATTTGTAAAAATAGATAACGCAGTGGTCGGCGGACACATATTATCATCGTTGGGCGGCGTTACAAAACCGAAAATCGTTTGGAAACTAGTTTTATCACTTGTGTGTACATCGCAGGTGAGAGTCGTCGTCCTCGACGGGAAATAACTAATAATTCCGCGTTTGTGTGTAAGCTTGTAATCAAATTACGACGTAATACCTATACTCGAAACTACGCGTCTGGCCCCCCTCCCCCTCCCCAAACCACCGGGTTACCCGACCCGAGTAACGTAACAGTGGTGGCGGCGGCGGCGGCGGCGGAGCGAAGCGCGTGTACACACTATTATTGTTCCGCGGTGTTTGTAAATAAAAAACAGCTGAACCGCGTGGACCGACGGCGGGGCGGCGGGACGAGGACGAGAGTGACCCAGTGGCCGCCGTAACCACCTTCCCCTCTCCGCCTTGTCCCGCTGGACAGTGTAATGAGCGACTCGAAGTGATTACGACTGTAATCAGTCTTTTTTTTTTTATTTCTTATTTACATACACACATTCTCAACGAGACATAAGAGCAGACACTTTTTGAGAGGAGTTACAATACCTACAATACAAGTTTCGACGGTACCGTTGTAAGGGTAAAAAGAAAAATTCCACCTGACCTTGTCCGAGTCGAATCCGGAAAAATCCTTTGTCCCGACGAAGACGTGACCGGGCAATAATTGTCGATAATCCTCTGACGGCGGACTGCTGGTGTCCGTCGAACATTAAAAATACCGATTCGGACCGGCTATGAGAGTTTTGCAACCGTTATTCGAGTAGTATCTAATGTAAAAATGCACAACGGAAAAAGAAACCCCAAGTCGCTCGGTAACGATCGTGCACGGTCGCGGTACAACAGCGGACTACAAGTGTCGACCGGCGATCCGCGATCGGCTGTGAAGCACACCGCTCTTTTGTTCTCTCCGCCGCGTACGACGTAGGCTGTAACGCGCTCGTGTGCCCCCTTCTGCCTACGCGACGTTTATCGACCACGGTCGACTGGACGCCGCCGATCCCGGTCGCCAGGAGCGCTGTCGTCGGCCACTAACCAACGTCGGAGGCACACCGTCTTCTGTCCGTGGTCACAGGGTCCATCCCATGTATTCCATAATTCGGTCCGTTTCATAACTCGCTTCTTGGGGGATTGCATGCGGTCTGTTTTTAGACCGAAATGACGACTACTTAGGTTTACTGGGTTATGTGGCAAACAGATTTTTTATTTTAAGGGTACGGGGAAAAACCCAGCAGTTTTCTAATCTAAGAAAAACATATTTAAGTAAAAAATGTTTTAAAATGTTTAAAAAATACTTAAGACTTTTTAAAAAAATGTTAAATTTTTGTTTGTATAATCGTGCTTAAAAATAAAGAACAGATTCGTTTTGTATCATTACGAATATTATAACAACAAAATTGCCATTTTTAAAAAGTGACTGCTGTTTATGTAAAAAAATGGACTGTAATATTTAAAAATTGCAAATTTAGTTACAACAAACTGAAATTCAGATTTCTACACAACACAGTAAAGCAGCCAAATAACTCGTTTATCTTTAAAGAATTGAAATTAGACCATCCTATGTAGTCGACATTTTGGTCTAAAATAAACCAAAATGGCTATTTAAATTAAAAATAATGCCTTGAAGCTTATACAAATTAACCGGTTTATTAATTATTAGAAAATGAATAGGTATTTCTTAAAAAAAAAACAAATGCCTATTAAGATGTCATATCGTATATAGAAGGTACATTGTATTCAAACTTACTATATGATTGGCTATATATTATTTATATATTAGGCGTTTAACGGTAAACCACCAAAACAAGTAGCTCGCCATTATCGCTGTAGTTTCAAGCCAAATTATATGAATGTATTTTTTTGAAAACAACTCCAACAAGGTTAAATTGTGTACACTAAAATAGTTCATCCATTACCAATATTTCCGGACAGGTGTTTGTATTTCTTTTTTTTTTTAATATGTTCGAGGGGGAACATTACTCTAATGTCATAGTTGTACTGCGTTCGTTTTCCACTTCGATACTTTAACATTATTTACACTACAAAACCCAGTATGACTAATGTTTAGTTACTATATATTCATAAACATAGCTACAAAGAGGAATAAATTAAATCAAGTCGAATCAAAATATTGTAATTTTCGTTTCCTGAATTAACAACCATTGTTTTGTGTTTATTATACAACCTACCACTTCCGAATTATATTAAACTTGAGTTTTTAACTTCTCTAAGTTTGGTTCAAACTACTTTTTGTAAAAATTAATCAACAACTTTTTACTTTAGATTAAAATGTTTTCTACGCTTTCATTTTAGACTGGACGCGAAGCTGAGACAATTTGATTATATACAAGCGTAGCATAATATTATATTATGATTTTAAAAGTAAAAGCATAATTGCTTACTTTTATAAATATTTTTATTCAATTACGTTTCTCAACTTTTTTATAGTTTATTATTAAAAATATTACTTTTTTGGCTGATTACTGTGTTAAAACAAATTCTTGAATAAAATATGTTTTTAAAAAATGACCAATGAATATCCAGTATGTTATCCAGATTGTTTTTTGTTATCCATGTATCAAATGTCTCATGTAATCATTTTGTAAAAAGATAACTACAACAATCTAGATTGATTATATACATTTTTATGTGAATAAGAATGCCCATAATCATTTGTATCGCCCAGTTTTATTAAGCTGACATTATGATTGTGTCTTAAGAAATAAAATATAACATTGTTATTTGTTTACAAAACGAAATTCAACTGATAACCATAGCAGAATGTAAACGAGCGACAATAGTGAAAAAATCAGTGTTTATTTTGCATTAAAAAAAAGAAAGAATAAATGGTTTGTTGAAAAATATCTACTTTTTTGTATGTTTTCACCGATTTTTAATGGGGAGAGATGATTTTTTACTTTAGATGTGATTTCTGACCTATAGTTTAGCTACATCAACCAATACCGTCTCAGTTTTGTATCCAAGTCAAAAGAAAGATAAAATATAGCTTGTAGTGGAAACATTATTGAAGGTAAATCAATTTTTTTAATATTAATAATAATATTGATACATTGTTCTTGTTAACAGTTAATCATATACTTTCTCTTCCAAACGTAGGAGAACTCTTTGCCGTTTTCAAAACCCACAACGCTTGTTAGTAATTACATACCCACACACATGTTCACATGTAAACTGCATATCAATTAACAACCTATAAAATGCTCGGTGAAATTACATCTTTTCCCATTTAGTCGCAGAACTTTGGATTAGAATATCACCTTTTATTAGAAATTGACCACAAAAGTAACATGATAATATGATACCGTATAATTAATGTTGCTCAAAGATGTACAAAACTGAGAAACAAAATGTCTTAAAAGATAAATCAAACCATCTTGTTCGAAAAATAATAATCAGTTAAAAATCACGAGAAACAATAAAATCGTTCTCGCTAAAAAAACAACCTTGTTCTAATTTTCAACAGTCAAACACAATTATAATAATTGAAGTACGCAGACAAACCTCTATTCACGTTAGTATTTAATTACTAAAATATATATTTAACGGTACCAATTACTATATTGTTTATTTTGCCGTTTTGTCTTTGGTAATTGGCATTAGCCAATTCTAGAGCAAAGGCAAACGAGTCATCTATTTTAGTAACATCAAAGACGGTCGTTTGGGGTACCTTAGCTATACCTGGACCTCTCTGGAATTTATATTGAAGTTCCAACGTGCATGATGATCGAATAGACCTCGCAATCAATTATTTATACCGTTACAGTAGTTGCAGTGAGCAGTTTGTCAAACGATTGCGGTGTTACATACTCAGAGCATTGTGGTGTTAATTAAAACACAAGAATAACTAATAACATTCGGTCAGATATTATATACTATCACACATAGAACCTCGACTATGTATAAATTGAAAAGACCTTGTGCGTTTAGTTGTTAACTCAGACCTCGTGCAAATCAAATAAACCCATTTTTCTTCTAAATTTACATTTCCTTATAGAAAGTTCAATAGCGAGTAATTAATATTGGACCATTGAAATTCAAATAAGGACGGTATATTCAATATTGTAATTTGTTTCAAAGTTGTATTCTACGGTCACATTAATATATATATATTATTATTACACAGCTCTATAGATCATCAGTCGTTTCGCAACGCCATTGTTCGACAAAAGTGCTTGTAATATAATATTATAATCTCGATGGCCTATATTATTAAAAATATGTGTTTGCTTATTTACTTACTCGTTAAGACTCGCCCCGAAGCCAAAAAGAATACACGATTGACCTCTTGTAAGGGTAAAAAAAAAAAATACAAACAAACTGTTAATGTGACATAACAGATCAGATCGGATCTAGCGACTTGTGTTGAGGTTCTAACGTGGGCGAACTGTGTGCCGGTTTTGCCGGAGAATTTTTAACGGACAAAAAATTCGAATTCCTCTACTTAACCGGACAAAGAAAGAACCCAGTGTTAGTGGACGGTCGAGGGGAAGCAAGTTTCCATATAGGGACTATTGTGCGATGTGGCAGCCACTCTGACCGAGACCTTCGGCTTGCCAGGCGTGGCGTGTGCGCTTGCTAATGGTAGGTAGGTATATTAGGTATATTATTATTGTATATTGTATTGTCTGTGCGAGAGATTTATATTTATTTGGCCACGAACCGTCGCTTTTCGTCCAGTCCGATGCGCAGTAAACACCTACCACGAGACGAGCACTTCATTTTGATTGGAATTTAAAATAATAACATCACTTGCTAATAGGTGCAATAGGAATTCAGTATTCTGATAGCTTAACTAAGTTTAAACTTGTAAAAGAAGTCAATTAAAAAACAATAACACAAAGGCCTCAAGAGACCTCTCCCACTGACCTACTACCCTTCCAGCTAAGGGTAGGTCATGAACAACAGACTACAGGCCGTCGCCTTTAATATCGATAAACGTTTGTGTATAGTTTTATATAAAAATATTATTTCTGACATTAATTGAAATTGTTTTATTCATTTAAAATAATTTATATTTGAATAAAAACGTATTATGTAAAAACTCGACCTTAATGTGCACTGATATATTAGAATTGTTACATTATCACATTATTAGAATCAATCGGAAGACATTGCATTAAGTATTCTGTGTTAGTAAATACTAATACAAGCATCTTATTATTAAAAAAAAAAGTTAAGTGGCACGAAACTCGTTTCATCATCGATAGTTTTTCCTCGATTTATATACCTATAACTTAATGCATATAGCGTAAGTGTGTCCAAGTGTATTTGCGACGTTCAAATCGTGCACCACTAGTTGTATAACGATGTTTTTTTCTTATGTACCTTTTTATTATTATTATTATCAAACTATTGCTTTTGTCTTAAACGACCCTGAGCAATGATGCGAAATAATGCTGTCATAATAATATTAATACTATTGTTATTATAATTATGTTCTATGAGTTTAACATGATAATTTAACCTATCCATTTAAATAGTGTCAATAATATTTTTATAGCTAGTAAAATGTCAACTTAAGGTCAATAAAAAAATACTCTACAGAATGTGTTGTATTTTTAATACTGACACGGTGAGCATACAATTCATAAAAAAATATTTTTTATAAAAACTAAAGCATGTTGTTTTTAAACAATTCAAGATACTTTAACTGAAGTCCGCCCAAGTTTCCCATTGACACGCCTCTGGCTTGACCCGACGGTCGATTAAAATATCAACGGACTAATACTTAAATGTAATCCTACTTTCGATAATATTGCATCAACCGGCATATTTAAAAAAAAATATTGAAAAGTAGTCGGCTTAAGTTAATTACAATTGATAAATAAAACGCGAAAGATGTATGTAAAACCAGTTTTTTACAAACTTGTGCTTTAAATAATTATTACGAAAATATTCGGATGGAAATCGTATT